TGTCTGAGCCAGGTCCAAGGGCTCAGCTCTTGTCCCCATTGCGCAGACGGAACACCGAGGCTCAGAGAGATCATGTAACTTTCTAGTCTCCCAGCTGCAAAATGAGGAGTGGGGACCAGAGCCCAGGTTTGCAGGGCCAAGGCGCCTGAGCAGGATCCAGTCAGGGTGGGGCAGGCCCTTGTGTCTGCTGCCAGGACTCTGGATACTGAGGTGGGAGTAGGCACAGTAAATGCCAAGTGTGGAGGTGAGGAGGTGGCAGAGGCCTGGAGAACAAGACGTTTGGGTGATGAGGAGCTGGCAGAAGTCACTACACCCACTTCTGGGGTGAGGGGGTAGCAGTGGTCAGGCAAACGCCCAGGTGTGGGGAATGAGGTAGGAGGGGTTAGGTGAATGGCCGGGTGGGGGGCGTGAGAAAGAGGGGTCCAACAGGCCACCAAGGTGGGGGTGTTAATGAGGCAGGAGGGGCCAGGAGGCAGGCAGGGCCAGGAGTAATGAGGTGGAGCCAGGAGGATGCAATGGGGGGGGTGCGGGGGGTCAGGAGCAGTCCTGGGATTGGAAGGGGAGGGATGAGGGCCCAGCTGTGGGAAGTGGTGTGAGATGTTGTGCGCTGCTGAGTAGATTCCGACTCATAGCGACTGTGATGGTTAAGATTGTGTGTCATCTTGGCTGGGCCATGATTCTCCGTGTTTTAATGTAATCACTCCCATGATTGAATATACTGTGAGTAGCCAATCAGATGAAAGGGAGTCTCCTTGGGGGTGTGGCCCATATCTGTATATAAGCAGACGTTCTGGCTTTTTGCTCTCTCTGAATCCTGCGGCTGCTTCCTGTCATCTCATCTCCTGTTCTGTGGACTTGAGCTGACAGCTTATCTGCCAAACCTGGGATTCGTCGATCTGCACAGCCTGTGAGTGGGAGCCCAGCTCTCCGACCTGCCGATCTTGGGCTTGCCAGCTTCTGCAGCTGTGTGACTTGGGAGAGGGCTCTACCCTGATCCACGGACTTGGGACATTCTCGCCTCTACAATTGCGTGAGCTGTTTCCTTGATATAATCTCTCTCTATACATATACACTTTACTGATTTTGCTTCTCTAGAGAACCCAGCCTAAGACAGTGACCCTACAGGACAGAGTAGAACTGCCCCACAGGGTTTCCAAGGAACAGCTGGTGGATTCCAACTGCCAACCTTTTGGTTAGCAGCCAACCTCTTAGCCACTGCACCACCAGGGCTCCAGAGACATGAGGAGGGCCAGGAAAATGCCCTAATGTTGGTGATAACAAAGTGGTAGTATCAGGTGTGGGTAAGAAGATGCAGAGACCCTAAAGCAGTCCAGGTGTGGGTAAGAAGGAAGTGAGAGGGACAGCTGGCAGCCCAGATTTAGATCATGAGTAGGTGGGGAGGGTCAGATTTGGGTAATGAGTAGGTAGGAGGGGCCGGATTTGAGTAAGTAGGTGGGAGGGGTCAGATTTGAGTAATGAGTAGGTGGGAGGGGTCGGGTGTCCCAGTTTGAAGTGAGGAGCAGGGGTCCAACCAGAATGGACGGGTTGGAAACCCTGGAAGGCAGCCCTGGTCTTGGAAGTGAGAAGGGATGAGAACCCAGAAGAAAGCCGGGTGTGTCTTAACAAGGAGGTGGAGGGCTTCAGAGCAGCCCAGGTGCTGGCAATGCCAGGGACAGGGTAAAGTGCCCCATGAACTCTTCCATAGCCATCTGCTTTCTTTCTGCCTGGCCTATCGATTCCTAAGGGACATGTTATAAAATCTCCAATTTTGTGGTTTTGCCCTTGTAGATGGGTCAGTCTTTGCTAAGTAGACTGTGAAGCTGTTATTGGTGCAAATGTTTGGAACGGTTCTACTTTCCAAGTGAATGGAACCTCAGTGATCATCTCTCTAGAGGCGCCTCATTCCTTAGAGTTGACTTTGTCCTACAGGATGGCTTCCTTCGGGTCAGCAACACATGGTTTCTTTCCTCCTGTGGCTTTCCAACAGTCTCTGTAGTTTAGGTGACACACGCTGACCTTAGCTGGACTGTTCTAAATTCAGTTACAATTTAACTGGAGACTTTGGTTTAAAAAAAATTAACAGGTGTAGTGGGATATGTCATGGATTGAATTGTGTCCCCAAAAAATATCTGTCATCTTGGCTGGGTCATGATTCCCAGTATCGTATGATTGTGTACCATTTTGTAATGTGATGTGATTTCCTTATGTGTTGTAAACTCTATCACTATGATGTGATAATTAGTGGCAGTTATACTGATGAGGTCTACAAGACTGAAGAGTGTTTTAAGCCAATTTCTTTTGAGACATAAAAGAGAGAAGTGAGCAGAGACACAGGGACCTCATACCACCAAGAAAGCAGTACCGGGAGCAGAGCGCATCCTTTGGACCCAAGGTTCCTGGGCCGAGAATATCCTAGTCCAGGGGAAGACTGATGACAAGGACCTTCCTCCAGAGCTAACAGAGAAAGCAAGCCTTCCCCTGGAACGGATGCCCTAAATTTGGACTTCTAGTCTACCTGACTGTGAGAAAATAAACTTCTCATTGTTAAAGCCATCCACTTGTGGTATTTGTTACAGCAGCACTAGATGACTAAAACAGGCTATAATTCACACACCATCAAACGCACTTAGTCAAGTTGCATTCATCTTGATCGCCCAGAGACTTAGATTTAATTCCGCATCTTATTTTATACCTTTCATTCACCTCACTTTTTCTGTTTTATTCTCTCCTTCTGATTTTCCTTTCTCCTAGTCTAATATACACTGCTTCTATCTTTTAGTGGTTACCTTAGAATCTTTACTATGCATCTCTGCTGCCATTGAGCAGGTTGCAACTCCTAGTGATCCTACAGGACAGAGAACTGAGCCATAGGGTTTCCAAGGAGTGGCTGGTGGATTCTAACTGCCGACCTTCTGGTTAGCAGCTGAGCTCTTAACTGCTGCGCCACCAGGACTCCTTATTGTGCGTATTTAACTTAAATTCTAATCTTTAGCCTTCTTAAAAAGAACCTTACACTATCTCAGTTAAAATCACCACCCTAACTTACATGCTATATTTGCCGGGTATTTTACATTTATCTGGATTTTTTAAGCCTGCATCTTACAAAAGCACTGTTTCATACCAGCACTGATCAACAGAACTTCCTGTGATACAGGAATGTTCTGTATCTGGGCTGTCCAATACCACAGCCACCGCCACGTGGGGCTGCTGACGACATGAAGCGTGGCTAACGCACCCAAGGACTGAATTTTTAACTTAAATAGCCACACGTGCCTACAAACCCCAAAATCTGTTGCGCCGTCGAGTCAATTCTGAATCCTAGTGACCCTGTAAGACAGAGTAGAACCGCCCCAGAGGGTTTCCAAGGCTGTAATCTTTCCAGAAGCGGATTGCTACATCTTTACCTCCCAGAGCGGCTGGTGGGTTAGCAGCCGAAGGCTTAACCACCGCACCACAGGGCTCCTTCACATGTGGTTAGTGGCGCCACAGTGAAGAGCAGGTTCATCCAATCAGCCTTCGTGTGGATTTAAAACGTGTCTCTTCCCTCCTTTCTGGAATCAGTTTCCTTCTTAAAGTTCATATTCTCAAGAGCTAGATGAAATGACAACATTTTCAGCAAGCAAACATTAACCGTCAACCACCAACCAACACTCACTAAAGGGAAAACCATCTGCAAGGCATGGAAGTCTAGATGGCTTACTTTCCTCGGCACTTCACCTCACTTTTCGGGCTTCAGCGTGGCTGCTAGGAGCTCCGCTCCCAAGGCACCGTCTACTCCCGGGCTACCTGTAACTTCCGCCTTCTCGCCCTGCAGACGGTCTCATCAGATGTGGCCTTTTTAATCCCGTCTGGAATTTGTGGGAGGTTGCATTAGCCTCATTCCTCCAGGAGACAAGCTGGGAGGGAGTGCAGAGCGTGAGGGGTTTATGGGGGGATGGGGGCAACCCGAGAGAGGTAAGGGGAGGAGACAGCCTCAGTGCAGAGCTGCTGGTGGCCGCCAGGGGAGTCCAGCACAGCAGGGTGCTCAGGCCCAGCACCCCCAGGGCTCTGGCGTTGGCTCAAAGGCTGAGGCGCTCCTGCAGGTGCCAATGGCTGGGGCCTAACTGCTCCCCTCGGGGCCCACCAGCAGGGCCTTTCCTGAGGGGGACTCACAAGGTGACCCGGTGGCTGCCGTGGGCACCCTGCCTCTGAGTCTGGCCTCTCTTTCACCCAACCTAGCACGTTCTCAGCCCAGTCACTCTAACTTAAACAAGTAAACTCTGTGAAGTACTTGGTGCAGCCCTCCCAGACACGGTTCTGAGCGCATCTAGACCGCGGCAATGCCAAACACAGAAGTCTGTTTACTCTGTGCCTTCTCAGTTATGCAGTGGGGGACTGTCTGCCCGTTTTATTTAAAAAAAAGAACAAAACGAGACAGAGAAGGGAGCTCATTTCTGTGCACTGCTCAGAGGCCCTGCTTCTTCCCTCCAGGACAGCTGAGCACACATGCTGACGCCAGTCGCCCATCCTCCCCGGACAGCGTCCATCACATCCCTGAGCTCAGGCTGCAAGAGTTGGCTCCGCCCCTCCCAGGCGATGTCTGGGCTGACAACACGGTCAGCAAGGCCTGTCCCCTCTGCTCCCAGGCCCTGTGTACATGAGAAAGGGGGCAAGGCCAGTGCCTTGCCTCCCCCCAGACACCTGATCCTTGCCCAGGAGCCCCCTTCCTGACCCTGCCAACTTTTAGACGGCTTTCTGGGGCCAAAAGGATCTGGGCCTGTTTTCAAGGATGACACGGCACACGAGTCTCCTTCATGCACGTGGTCTCCCTGCGTCCACAGCCACTTGGAAAACGAGCACTTTGTGTCCATTTCACACTGGGAACCTGCAGTCTAGGGGGTGGGGGTGGGGGGAACCTGTCCAGGGTCACACGGCAACTTGACAGTGTCCTGGAGCCTCAGAACATGGAGAGCAGCCGTGGTGGGGAAGGAGGCTGGGTCCAGGGACTTCTGTCAGGGTCCTCAGACCAGGCCGGCCCGCTCCAGGTCCTGCGGCAGGATCCGGCCCTTCTTGCGGGCCTTCTCCATGCGCCGCTCAGCCTTGGCCACCTTCTTCTTGCGCAGGTTCTGCCGCCGCTTGTCCTGCCGCTGCTGCATCTTCTCGACAACATGCGCCGTGCGCTTCTCCCACTTACGCTTCCGCTGCGCCCGCCGCTTCTCCTTGCGCTTGAGGGCCTCCTGCAGCAGCGGCTCGCTGTCGCGGATCTTCACACCCTCCGCCTTGTACAGCAGGTTGGTCCACTGCATCTTGGCCTCCAGCGCCTGCGCCTGCCCCGTGTCCCGCTCCCGCAGCTCCTCCAGCCGCGCCTGCCGCGCCTGCAGCCGCTCCAGCAGCTGCCGGTAGTTCCTGCCCGTCAGGGGCGTCAGCTTGCCTTTCACCTGCTGCCTCTTCTCCTTCTGCCGCTGCGCCTTGCTGGCCGGCTCCTCCTCGCCCACCTCCACCTGGGGGAGAAGCCGCCATGGTCAGTGGGTTACAGCACCACACCCCCTCACAGGCACACGGCCAGGGGCCTGACCCCACAGGGTTCGAGACCGCCGGAGCCCCCTCTCACCTTATTAAAGATCAGCCCTGTCTGCTCCTGCGGCTCCGGGCAGGGCGCCACGGGGGCTGGCTCAGTAGCCACCTCGGTCTTCCCGGCCTTAGCTGCCTTCTCCTTTGCTCTCAGCTCCTTTCGCTTCCTCTTTTTCCGGTCTCGCTCCTGCTTCCTCCGGCGCCTCTTCTCCAGAGTGGCGGGGGACAGCTCCTTGGTGCTGCCCTGGGGGCCAGAAGGGGCCTCACTCTCAGTTCCACCACGCCCAGGGGCCCCAGTCCAGTACACTGGTAAAGGTAGACTCAGGGCAGACAGGCAGGCAAGGCAAACCTTGCGCGGGGCAAGAGCCCCACTGAACGTCCCCAATAAGAGGGCCTAATTCCGAAATGCACACGACTTGCAGAAAGACAGGATCCTGAGCAGGAAGCTGGCACAGAGGCTCTACCCTGCTCTGGGCACTTCACAGATACAGCTTTCACGGAACTTTCCAAGCAACCCAGTGAGGGCAGCCCCCTACGTCATCGCGTAGATGAGGGAAGTCAAGGGGCTTCGCCAGGCCCCCCAGCCGGTAAGGGGGAAGACCAGGAATCAGCGTCGGGTTTGAACACCCTGAGCACTTTTGTCCTGGTCACTGCACTGCTTGTGACACGTGCTGTCACTGTCCCCGACTGTGTCTACAGGCTAGCTGCCAGGAAGAGCACTCTGGCCCCGCAGTGACCTCAACTGCACTGTAGGACAGCAGGGCCCAGAACCACGGTCTCCTTCTAGAAGCCAGCCACCAGGTCCTGAAGACGGGCAGCAGGCTGGTCCCAGGAGGGCGAGAAGTTGGGGGGCCGTCCCCCACACGGCAAGGCTGCACCACTTGCAGCAGAGCTGTGGCTGCCTCAGTTCTGTCAGCTCAGGTGGCCACCTATCTCAGGGGCCCACTGTGACACGGGGGTCGACAGACGCACAAGAAGTGCCCGGCCCAGTGAGAGCATCCAGCAAAGGCAGCTTCCCCGAAAGGAGGCTGGCTTCTCTCCGAGGGCTGCCGGAGGGGAGGAGCAGCGGCATGTGAACAGCCAGGAGAAGGCCAGTGACTTTTGGGACCGAGGTTCCCCCAAGGAGAAGACGAGAACTACCACTGACCTCTTCCAGAACAGACCCACAACCCCTCCGCCAGCCTGCGGTTTTACTGCCATGCTGGTCAGGCCCGCAGAGGGCAGGGAAGTGTCTTCTCCTCAGGCAGGGCAGGGGCACTCCAGCTAGCCCGCCCCTCCTGGCACCCCAGGGAGCCTCTCCTCACCTACCTGGCCCCGCGCCTCCTGTATCTTCTCGTGCAGCCGCTGCCGCAGGACATCCAGGGCAAAGAAAGAGTCAGGTTCTGGGGTCGGGCGTTCTGCGAGGGGAGCAGACAGCAGCACTGAAAAATGACCCGATCCCCAACTTTTCCCTGAATCTCTACTCACACACCCCCTTGTGGCCACTCACAGATCTGCAGGGGCAATTCCAGCCCATTCTATGATCCCTATGGCATGCTCCAGGGACAGGTAATTAGCTCACTGCCTCCAGAGGCAGGTCACTGCAGTATAACAAAGTGCTTTCTCTGGTGCAAGCCGAACCCACCTCCAATTTCTTCCAACTTCTGCACCGGAGCCCCACAGTCTGCCCTCACAACACCCCTTCTGAGACTCGAGGGCAGCAACGTTGTTCCTCTGAGGCCTCGGTTGCACGCCCTGGCCCTGTGGTCCCCAAGCCGCTCACCTGCAGGGGCCACGGTGGAGGCCTCCCCCTCTTCAGTCGTCACTGATTCCTTGGCCCCAGAAGCTGCTGGAGACTTCTCCACAGACTTGGCCTTGTGCTCCGCAGCCTTCTCTCTCTGCTCCTGGAATTTCTTCTGTGTTTTCTTCCTTTTCTTTTTGGAGGGCCCAGCAGCTTTCGAGTTTTCAGTTTGGCCAGCTGAAATACAAAATGCGCAAGAGCTGCCATCCCAATCTCTGTGACTCGCTCAGAAGGCAGGAGGGTCTCGTGGAGGCTTTGGCCCCAAACAACGCAGAGCACCACGATGGAGGATCCAGAGACACGGACCCGCAGAGCTCAGAACGACGGCTCTCCCAGAACGCAGGATGGCCACTCATAGCAAACACCTTAGACCCGTGCACCCCCGGCCTGGCAGTTGTGCTGGTGGGAACTCAGTGTGGTATGAGCAGGGGTTTGGCTTCAAGGATGTTCATCATGACACTGCTTCGGCGAAAAACTGAACAAACCTGAGTGCTCCCCAAAACCAAAAAAATACCAAACCCACTGCCGTTGAGTCGATTCCAACTCGTAGTGACCCTACAGGACAGAGTAGAACTGCCCCATAGGGTTTCCAAGAAGCAGTTGGTGGATTCGAACTGCCAACCTTCTGATTAGCAGCCATAGCTCTTAACCACTGTGCCACCAGGGTTCCAGGACAGGTTATGCTACCAGGACAAACTACTACACGGCCATTAGAAACAACTGTAGTCTTTCACTTCGCGACTGGGAAGGTGCTTGCATTTTAAAGGAAAAAAAAGGGATATGTAGAGTAGAATCAAACTCTTTTCATAACTGAAACTTGTATGAAAAACAAAAGGGGCTAGAAAGACACAGACCAAAATTATAATTATAAAATGACAAAAATGACTTGAGCTTTCTAAATTTTTATAAAGAACTATATTCCTCACATAAAATGAAAAGTAGGGTTTTTTTTTAATCAAATCAAAACGAGTTTCCCAGCAGACCCTCCTGCTCTCCTCTCCTCTGGGGCCCAGCTCTTTAAGGACCCCTCCCCGCCCCCCAGGTCAGCTCCTTCCTGAGTAACCCAGTACCCCCCCGCCCCGGTGTGTAAGCTGCCCCGGCAGAAACCCTCAGCTTGCTTGCTTCTCCGCACATAGCACCAGCCTGAGAAGGTTTTTTTTTTTTTTTTTGACTGATTGATCATCACACGTAACCGTCTTCCCACCCAAAACGGAGAGTTGGCCAAGCTCGTTCACTACCGGGGTCACCTCTCCGAAGATCGGCAAGGCTTCCGCGATGGGCGGACGGAGCTAAACCCCTCGTTTCGGGCTGATGCCCATAACAAGGGGGACGGCAGTAGCTTTAAACACCACTTACATTTTCTTCTAGCGTTTTGCTGATTTGTTTCACGCTTTTACCTGTTTAATCCACCTGAAAGCTACCCCGGAGTGTGATGTGTGGTAAACACCGACCTCGGCCGCGAGAGAGGAGGGGTGGAACTTCCCCGCGAAACCCCCAGCCCCAATATCGCGAAGGTACGCGCCGGAGACGGCGCCTCACCCCACTTGCGCTTCTGCGGCTCCGCGCTGGGCTGGGCGCAGATTTTCCTGGCCAGGTTCTGCAGGTAGGAGTCTTTGGCGAGCAGAGAAGCCATGGCTGGAGCTCGGGTGTCCGGGCCCTGGCAGCAGGGCGGGCGGTGCTCGCTCGAGGTGCTGTTCAGGAAGACAGGGGTGCTGCGGAACGGAGGACGGGGCGGGGGTCGTGGGGTCCCGGGCCACCTCGCCCTCCCCGACGATCAGAGGGGAAAGGCCGAGGCCTGGGCGCGGCGCCCTGAGCAGTCCTCGCCACACACACCGACCCCGGGGCGACCCGCACGTCCGCCGGGCTGCGACCGGAAATCACCACGTGCGCAAGCACCGCCAGCCGAGCGCCGAGACCCCAGCCCCGCGGCGCTCGATTAGCCAGGCCTGGCTCCGTTTGGATTTCGGAACGGGGCGGAGCGCAGAGCATTGTGGGCCGTGGGCGGGGGCGAGAGGTAGCTTCTTCCTGGTCTGCACGGCCGCGGGCCGGGTCGGGGAGGGGGCGAGGGGCGGTTCTAGGATCTGGCTCGAGGCCGGCGCGAGGCCGCTGAAGCTTCTGCCCCGAGGCGGGGGTGGTGGCGATTCTACCGCACCCATCGAGTCCCGACCTCTGCGCCCGGTCTCCCCCGGCCCTGCACATGCTTTCACGCCCTTATCCCCACTCGCAGCATACTCCCCCGGACACAGGAGGCGCGCAATAAATAGGGCTGAATGAATGAATAAATGGGCAGTAATTAAGCTCTTTGGGGTCCTCAGATCCCAAATGGAAGCGGACGAAACCGCGTTATTCAAAAAGAATTGAGCGCCTAGGCTGTGCCAGCCCCTGTTCCAAGCCCACGGGATACAGCAGTGAAAAAACACACACACAAATCTGTGTCCTCTTGAATCTTGTATTTTAGTGGCATCGACTGAAAATACGTATATGATGTCTCGGGCGGTGGGGAGAGGAGCCCTGGTGGTGTTGGGATTAAGAGCTCGGCTGCTAACGTCGCTGCAGTTCGCCACCGGCCGCTCCGTGGAAACCCTAATGGGCGGTTCTACTCTGCCCTATAGGGTCGCTGAGAGTCGGAATCGACTCAATGGCAACGGGTTTTGAGGATGGGGAGTGCTCACGAAGGAGAAGGGAAGGGACAAGAGGTGTTGGGAGGGAGGGAGCTGGATCCTCACGGAAGACCTGGAGGGAAGGTGGCTTGTTCTGGAAAATACACTTGGTTCTTCCTAAGAACTCACCGAGAGGGGCGAGAAGGGGCGTGTTCACTAGCGGAAGCTGGGGAACACCACACTCCAGCTCCTTAACACATCAGTTACAGGCTTTTGTTACACAACCCCGGAGCCCCTTGGTTGCCAGGAGCTCGGAAGGGAGGAGGCTGTGATACTCCACAGGAGAGGGAAGGGGGAACTGGCAGTCATCACTAGAACTTCAAAAGACTACTTGAGAAGGCTGCTAATAAGATACATTAAGAATTAACTTGCTTCCTGAACCTCTGCCGTGAGATGATGTGTTCTGGGGAGGCTGGTTTCATCATCATCTTCCTCCTACGGTAGTTTAAATCCACAGTTTAACCTCTATCTACACAACACAGCCTTCAGTATGGATTACACCTCAACATAAAGGAAAAAAAAAATCCTCACAACTGGACCAATAAGCAACATCATGATAAACGGAGAAAAGATTGAAATTGTCAAGGATTTCATTTTACTTGGATCCACAGTCAACACCCATGGAAACAGCAGTCAAGAAATCAAAAGACGAGTTGCAGTGGGCAAATCTGCTGCAAGACATCTCTTTAAAGTGTTGAAAAGCGAAGATGTCACATTGAAGACTAAGGTGCACCTGACCCACGCCGTGGTGTTTTCAGTTGCCTCATATACATGCAAAAGCTGGGCGATGAATAAGGAAGACCGAAGAAGAATTGATGCCTTTGAATTGTGGTGTTGGCGAAGAGTATTGAATATACCATGGACCGTCAAAAGAACGAACAAACCTGTCTTGGCAGAAATACAACCAAAATGTCCTTAGAAGCAAGGATGGCGAACTACAACTCACGTACTTTGGACACATTATCAGGAGGGATCAGTCCCTGGAGAAGGACATTATACTTGGTAAAGCAGAGCATCAGCGAAAAAGAGGAAGCCCTCAATGAGATGGATTGACACAGTGGGTGCAACAGTGCGCTCAAGCATAACAATGATTGTGAGGATGGTGCAGGACCCAGCGGTGTTTCGTTCTGTTGCATGTGGGGTCACTATGAGTCCGAATGGACTTGACAGCACCTAACAACAACAACACAGAACAATCATTGAGCCACAGACAAGTCCTTCCAGGAACTGTCATTTAAACCATCAAAGCAAGAGACACTGAAGGGATAGGGATGGGGCAAAGGACGACAGGGATGCTGGGTCCTCTGGCAGTGGGTTCTCAGTTCACGTGCAAGTCAGCTTATTTGTCCTGCATCTCCAGCTCCAGGTAGGTCTTCGCTGAGGTCTTCACGGGCAGTGGTAGATGCCACGAGAGGTGGCCACAGGGCAGGGAGAGAAAACCCAAATGTCCTCTTCTGAGTTGGTGAGTCCGGAGTGCAGATCTTGTTCATGAGCCTACCTACTTTTAGTTACCGGTAAGAAGCTAAATAAAATCTGGTCCTGTTTACAAACCTGGCAATTAAAGATACAACTCTGAAGATACTACTACCTGTTGCTATTGAATGGATTCTGACTCACAGCAATCCTAGAGGTCAGAGTAGAATTGCCCCATAGGGTTTCCAAGGCTGTAATCTTTACAGAAGCAGATTGCCACATCTTTCTCCCACTGAGCAGCTGGTGGGTTTGAATCACCAACCTTTCAGTTAGCAGCTGAGTGCATAACTGCTGCACCACCAGGGCTACGATTAAATTCTGTTTGTGCCCGTAACTTTAATTTGCCATCAGAAAATTCAACAGTAAAATACATATTTTTTTGTGTGTGTGCTTTAGGTGAAAGTTTACAGTTCTAGTTAATTTCTCATACAAAAATTTATACACGTATTGTTTTGTGACATTAGTTGCAATCCTCCACAATGTGACAGCACACTCCCTCTTTCCACCCTGAGTTCCCTGTGTCCATTCTGCCTGTTCCTGTCCCTTCCTGCCTTCTCACCCTGTCCTCCGTCAGGAGCCACCCATTTGGTCTCCGTAGCTGATTGAACTAAGAAGCACTGACCTAACAAGTAGTATTTTTTGTTTTATAGTCCTGTCTGATCTTTGTCTGAAGAGTGGGCTTCTGGAATGGTTTCAGCTCTGGGTTAACAGTGCATCCGGGGGGCATAGTTTTGGAGTACCTCCAGTCTCTGTCAGAGCATTAAGTCTGGTCCTTTTACGTGAATTAGAGTTCTGTTCCACACCTTTCTCCTGTTCTGTCTGGGCCTCTCTGTTGTGTTCCCTGTCAGGGCGGTCACTGGTGGTAGCCGGGCACCATCTAGTTCTTCTGGTCTCAGGCTGATGGAGTCTCTGGTTCATGTGGTCCTTTAGTCTCGGGCTAATATTTTCCTAGTGTCTTTGGTGTTCATTCTCCTTTGCTCCAAGTCGGATGGGACCAATTGATGCATCTTAGATGGCTGCTTGCAAGCTTTTAAGGCCCCAGGTGCCACTCAGCAAAGTGGGATGCAGAACATCTTCTTAATGAACTTTGTTATGCCAATAGACCTACATGTCCCCGGAAACTATGGTCCCCAGGCCCCAGCCCCAGCTACTCTATCCCTCAAATTGGATGTGTCCAGGAAACTTCTTAGCTTTTGCTTTGGTCCAGTTGTACTGACTTCCCCTGTATTGTGTGTTGTCCTTCCCTTCACCCAAGTTGATCCTTGTCTACTATCTAGTTACTGAATCCCCCTCCCCCCCTTCTCCACCCCTGTAACCATCAAAGGATGCTTTTTTCTTCGACAGTAATTTGTTCATCTTTTCTAGAATGCCTTATGATTTCTTTTTGTGTATCATTTTGGATTCATGGCTTTTCAGAGATCAGAGTACAGTATTTCAATGAACTATAGCCATTAGTTTCCTTTTGAGGCTAGAACTGGCCCGTCTTTGGCTGGTGGGAGTTGCGTCTCAGTTGACTCCTGTGCTGCTTCGTCACAACTCCACTAACTTGGAACGCTTCCGTGCTTTGTGGCACGAGGTATGCCAGGCTTATCGTGTGCTTCCCTGCCCGACATGAAATCAGCCCTTCCTGCTAGGAAACCTGATTCCTTTTTGGTGAAAAACTTACGTTAGAAAATAGTACCTGGGTGCTAGGGAGCTTCATGGGGGTGACATTGCTTCTAGGCCATTTCAGGGGACAGAGTTAGAAAAATAATGTATATATTTATGTATTTTTTTAATTGAAAAGTGAGAATTTATATTTGTATTTTCAATTCTAATAATGTTTCTACTTATTTTTCATTCTATAATTGTAAACCCTTTTCTTATACTGAATACCATGATTCCAAAAAATAATAATTACTTGTTTCCTTTCTTTAAAAATACAAAAAAATAGTCCCAGGATAACAAGTAGGAACACTAACATGGCCTGTAAGACTGAGTGAAGCTCAAGGTTTTCTGTGCCCCCCGGCAGTGGCATGTGATGAGCTGATCTTCCCTCTCCCAGAAGCCCTGCAGGCAGTGTCAAGGAACCCATCTTCCAGCTTATCAGTGGGGAAGCGACTTCCCAAGGGACCCCGGAACCAGGATAGAGCCAGGGTTGGGTCCCCGGTTCCCAGAGATCTCGTGCCTTCTGCTGGGTCATGGGGGGTCTCTGGGCCCCGGCGTGTCGTTTCCCTGCGAGTCAGCTGTGTTCTTCCTGTCGCCGTGAGGCCGGCCATGGGCTTTCACCTCTTCTGTACGTCGGGGGAAGGAGACAAGGCAGGTGGATGGCAGGCAGGGCCTGGGGTGCAGCCCCAGCCCCACCGGCGTGCCCTCCAGGGCTGTGCTCCTTGTAGCTCTGCAAGGAACCAGCTTGGAGAGGCATGGGCTCAGCATGCCACCTGCAGCCCTGAGCTCTGTCACTTCACTTCCCAGCTCCGTGACCTTGGGCCCCACACTTCAAGGGCGTCTGAGTCTGTGCCCTCCCGTTTGGATGCAGTGATGGCAGCACCAGCTCAGGAGGGGGCAGGGAGGACCAGAGCCGCCAGACACAAGATGCCCGTGTCCCTTGTGCACAGCGATGGCAGCAGCTTCTCATTCATTCACGCTGTGTCGTGGGCTTGCTGGGGGAGGTCCAGACGATGGAGTGAGCTATGTATGAACACTGCATGGCCCAGTGGGGGCAGTGAGGGGGTCAGCCTACCAAGTCGTGCATGGTCTGGTGGGGGCACTGAGAGGGTCAGCCTACCAAGTCCTGCACGGCCCAGTGGGGGCACTGAGGCAGTCAGCCTACCAAGTCCTGCACGGCCCAGTGGGGGCACTGAGGCGGTCAGCCTACCAAGTCCTGCACGGCCCAGTGCGGGCAGTGAGGGGGTCAGCCTACCGAGTCCTGCATGGCCCGGGGGAGTGGGGGTGGTCGGCCCACCGAGTCCCGCACGGTCAGGGTGAGGAGGCCCGACATGGAAGGACTATGGATGAGCTCTAGGCCCTGCGTCCTGGCTACTGCAGGTCCAACTCAGGGGCCCGCAGCTGTCCTGGCTGAGCTGGGGAGACCAAGGGTGCTCCCGGACTGATCGAGATCGAGGAAAAAGGAATCAGCACTAAAAGGTGGCAACCTTTTTATTCAAGTCTCGTTACAAAACACCCAGAATGTATAGGGCAGCAGAATTAGGACGGACCACCACCTGGCTCCTGGCTCTGCCAGGGGCTGTGGGGCAGCCAGGCTCTGTGGCACGGGCATCGTGGCTCAGGCAAGAGGCAGTGGGCACAGCTTGGCACAGGAGTCCTGGCCTAGACGTGGGGTGGGACTTGGCTGATAGTGTCAACTCTGAGAATCCACCCCCCCATTTTAAACATGCATAAGCCAAGCCTCTGTCAGATCAGACACCCTCCCGCCCCACTGTGGGGGTGCCAATGGGATGAATCCACCTTGAAGATACCCCTCCAGCCCTGGGGAGGCTGGGGAGCAGTGTGAAAGAGTCACTCGGGAATGGGCTGCCCCGGAAACGTTGGGGAACTAGTTTTCCCCAGCAGTCCTGGGTAGCCTGACCCTGGGCCCGGACTGATGAGACTTTCAAGGAAGCCACAGCAGCGTTGGGGTCCTGAGGAGTCCCCAGGTGGGCACCGAGGCCCAGGCAGGCACTCAGAGGCGGTTTCGTGCCTGAGACCCTTGGGGCTGGGCAGGGAGCCCCTGGAAGCTCAGGTGTGCTCCGTGGGGCCGGGGCCGCCGGCGTGGGGGTGCACAGGGGCCGCAGCCTGTAGGGGGCCAGTGCTGGGCTCCGGGGACACCAGCAGGGGGGCCGAGAGGCCATCGGCAGGGTCTGAGTCGAGGTCCAGCCTCCAGTAAGCTTCGCACAGAGGCAGATCGCTAGCTTCGCAAAGACTCGAGCTTTTCCGCCACCAGAAACCCCCAGGAGAGACAGGAGCAGGCAGAGTGGGGAGCAGGGCAGGGAGAAAGCAAGACAGAGCAGAGGTGAGAAAACAGAGAGAGACCCACAGCCAGGCCCTGCCTCTTGCATCCTCTGCTCTGGGTCGGCCCCTCAGACGGGCCTGCTGGGGAGGGCCCTGGGTTCCAGGAGCAACTTGAGAGGGAAGCCCTTCCTCTGGGCCAGGCTGACCCAGTGTCCTTCTTGCCACATGCCCATCCTCGCCCTGCTGGGCCCCCTCCCAGCCCACCATCTCCTCACTGCTACGCCCCCTCCCAGCCCTCCCTCTCCTCACTGCCACGCCCCCTCCAAGCCCTCCCTCTCCTCACTGGCTGTGAGACCAGCATCCTGAGCTGACTCCAGTCCTTCGAGGCCCCTACACTTTGTAAGGTGCTCCCTGAGGGCGGGACCCGTCTTGTTTCAGGGTCTATCCCTGCCTGGGGCTTAGCATGAACAGGGCGACAGTCAGGAACACAGGCCCCTGGAGTTCCTCCTCCACTATGACACCCGCCGTGTGACCCTGCACAGGCCCTGAGCCCCCAGCCTCAGTTTCCCCATGTCTAACAGCATCAGCCTCCCGGGTCTGCAGTGAAGACCGAGGCCTGGCACGCGGAGGCACCACCTGCCCTGCCCGGCTTGCTCCTGCGTCCTGCCCTGCATCTCCTCCCCCTGCTGTAGCCCTCAGCGTTCCATCACTCCCGGGCTTAGAGTGGCATCTGGAGGAAAGTGGAGGGAGAGGCAGAGCCAGAAGGAGCAGACACCGAGTGGAAGGAGGTGAGCATGTGGCAGCCAGGCGTGAGGCAGCGGGCGGTTGTGGGGGAGGACGGTGTGTGGCCAGCCAGCCTGGCCACCGTGGCCCTCCCTGTGGAAATGGCAGGAGCCGGCAGAGCCCGGCCGCCCACAGCCTAGGCAGCGCAGCTCAGCTGAGCCCTGGCCATAAGCGGGGATTCAGACGAGGACTCAACCTGCTCTGCCCCAGGAGCGACCTGGGGGGGCTCCCCTTTGGCCTCCCCCGCCCCCCAGAGATGGCTGGGGGTGGACAGGGACGCCAGCAGGAGGGCACACATTCTGGGAGGCGACACCAGGCTGTCCAGAAACCCCTCTAGGTGAACCACTGAGATGGACCGGGGTGGTGAGGGCATCAGAAGCCTATGGCTCAGGGTCCTGTCTCCGCTCGGTTGCGCGACCTTGGCTGGTCCCTTCCTCGCTCTGGCCCGGCCTTGAGGGGCAGTAGCTGGCTCAAGGGGTTAGACAAAGATGAGGACATGAGAGGATTGTGCAAAACCAAACAGAGCTGGGGGCCACGTCCCCAGAGGGGCCTGAAATATGCCTGGCACCATGCAGTACTCCTCTCTGTTGTCCTGGTGTGTAGGAGGTGCTTGCCAGATGTCTGCTGAGCCGATGAGTGTCAGGGACCAAAGTGGCCCTGGAACCCTCTGGAACATTCTGGAACTGCTCCAGCTGGGAGGCACACTCTGTCCCTTCCCTCGGAGGCCAAGACTGGGAAGGGAGCACGAGGCGGGGTACACTGATCCAGGCGGGGAAACTGGCCACGCTGGCTCTGGGCGTTGGCGGCTGCTCAGCGTGGCCTCCCATGGTGCAGACACGAGCATTTTAAATCCGCCACCAGGAAGGAAGAGAGGCATCCAGGCGAGGGCACAGATGGGCATAGGCCTTGTGTCTGCTGGACCAGATCTTGATTTTCCAAGCTATTGGGGCAGGGGTGCAAAGATTGCCCCATCTCCAGCCTCAATTTCCCCTATGTAAATGAGACTGATTTCTCAAGGTCCTTCCAGCTCAAATGGTCTCAGGTCTCAGGATCTATGTGGCCCCAGGACTGAGATGACGGGTCTTGCCCACTGTTGTATCCCTGGGGGCATCACAGGGCCTGGCAGGTAGCAGTCCTCCAAAAACAAGGCTGAACTGAACGGAAACTGGAGGTCCAGGTGCCCTGGGCCTGGCTTCCAGGGCTGTTCTGTTTGGGTCTCCCCTCCACCCCGGGACTGGCCCACCTCCACACTGTCTGGTTCCGTGACATCCCTATGGAGTCACATCCCTGGGACCGCCAGGCCTGGGTGGCAAGGAGGAGACAGCAGCCTGGGCATCAACGTTCAAATATTGAAGACAGAGCTTAAAGGAACAGCGCAGGCCAACAGCCCTGCAGGGCAGGGAGCCTCAGAGAGGCGTCCCTGCTTCCGGACAGGAGCCACACTGCCCCCCCTGCTGGGCAAGCACAGGCACAACCCCCCCTTGTCCAGACACGGTCCCCATCGAGACTCTGGCCCTGCGGGAGTTCTGTGCTGCACATCACGGTGAGGTGTGGGAAGGCCCAGGGCCCTGTGGACGGCAAGTGAACTGTCTGTCGATCAAACACTGACCAGGAACTCTGCTCGGCAACCTGGGCGCGGGCTCTGCTGCCAGACCAGGGCGGGTTTGGAAAAGCAGAGGGGCCCTGGGACGGGCGGCCAGGCCCGGGAAAGCAGGCGCCTGCTCTGCGCGCCGTCCGCCCTATTTGTACCTGGACGAGTAGTATTCCTCCTCCAGCTCGTAGAGGTCGATGGAGACCTCGTCGCGCAGGGTGATCAGCTTCCGGTCACACTCCTCCTGCAGTGTGCGCAGCTGCTGGTCGCGCTGGTCGATGGCCTCGTTCACCGACGGGAAGTCGTTCAGGATCAGGAACTGCTTCAGGTCGGACACCAGCTTCATCAGGGACTCGCCGGCTCGGACCTGTGCCGTCAGAACCGGAGCGGACGTGGGGGTGAGGGCCGTGACAGGGGCAGCAGCTCTGCCTCTCTGTGGCTGGAGCTGGGCAGGCAACGCCCCTTCTCGGAGCCTCAGTTTCCTTCTCTGTAAAATGGGACTAGAGCATGTGACTTCATAGGGTTTGTTATGGGTTGAATTGTATCCCCTAAGAGGATACGTTGAAGTCCTAACCCTGTACCTGTGAACGTGACCTTGTTTGGAAATAGGGGCTTTGTTATGTGGTCATACTAGAGCGGGGTGGTGGCCTTACTACAAGAGGAAAAGAGACGCAGAGACAGACAGAGGGAAGGAAGCCATGTGAAGACACAGCAGAGGCTGAAGCGATGCAGCCCCAAGCCAAGGGGCACCTGGAGCCCCCAGGAGCTGGGAGCGACAAGGGGGTTCCTCCCCTAGAGCCTGCGGAGGGAGCGCGGCCCTGCCGCACCTGGGTTGGGACTTCCAGCCTCCAGAGCTGCGAGAGGATGACCATCTGTGGTCCTAAGCCGCCCAGCGTGTGCAAATTTGTCACAGGGACCCTGGGAAACTAACATAGGGTCGTGGGTGAGAACGAACTGAAGAAACTGGAAAGTCAGTTATGGGGTGGGGGGCAGGATAAACTGCTTCCGAGGCAGGCCCGGGAGAGGGGCAGCCCTGAAGGGAGAGGGGGAGCCCTGAAGGGAGAGGGGGATTCCTGAAGGGAGAGGCGGAACCCCGCCGGGAGAGGCGGAGCCCTAGCCGGGAGAGGGGGAGCCCTGAAGGGAGAGGGGGATTCCTGAAGGGAGAGGCGGAACCCCGCCGGGAGAGGCGGAGCCCTAGCCGGGAGAGGGGCAGCCCTGAAGGGAGAGGGGGAGCCCTGAAGGGAGAGGGGGATTCCTGAAGGGAGAGGCGGAACCCCGCCGGGAGAGGCGGAGCCCTAGCCGGGAGACGGGGAGCCCTAGCCGGGAGAGGCGGAACCCCGCCGGGAGCGGCTGGAATGAGCCCGCCCCCACCGGCCCGCAGTTGGCCTAGCTCCGGCTCCTGCCAGCCCTGACCTTCACATACAAGCTGTGCAAGCACAGGCTGGCTCGCTCAAACCCCGCTGGGAAACGACCATCCCGTTTAACCTCCTGCCCAGCCAGCAGTGGGAGGGTTCCCTTGAGACCCTTTCCTGCGCGTTTTCATCCATGGACACACTGGAAATGTCTGGCTGATGTGCTGGGCATACACTGTCTTGTCCTGCAATTTGCTTCCCTGCACGGTGACTCCTAGCGTCGGCACAGGGGGGTCTACGGCACAGGGGGTCTATGTCTCTAACCATCGCCAGTGCTCAGCAGGTGGATGTGGCAGACTCTCTGTCCCCCCACCCCCATGAACAGCCCTCCCCCAAGTGCCCCCTAAGGGGAGCTCCCGGGAGGGGTTATCCCCACCCCACTCTCGGAAGCTGCCAAGGGTGAAACCAAAGCCTGGCTCCATGTCCTGTGCGGCTCGTCTGGCAGGGAAGGAAGTAGGCCAGCGACAAAAGGACATGTCCCACCCAAGGAAGCACAAGGTGCCCGTGCCCCAAACGCGCCTGCAGCCCGCCGCTCCTGGCCCCAGGACTCACGATGTTGGCGGCTCGCACATGCATCTCATAGTTGTCCTGTTCACCCTGCGTGGCCCGCGACACCTGGGTCTCGTCCTCAATCTGGGGGGCAAACGAGAACGCACAGAGTCAGCCTGGCCCTCCGTCAGGGCTCCAGCTGGCCAGCCCATCCACGCACGGACCACACCGGTACACACTACCAGAATGCCTTAGCAACCAGACCTTCGGCAATGTCAGTTCCCTCCTGTCTCGTTCTGCTCTACAAGAGACAGCAAGCACCTTCATGAGGACAAACGGATGCTTATGGATGCTGACTGCTGTGCTGGGTGCTGGGCTTCCAGAGGGAGAGACTGCAGGGACAAGGCATTATTGAGGGCTGTCTTAGTCATCTAGTGCTGCTACAACAGAAATACCACAAGTGGATGGCTTTAACAATGAGAAGTTTATTCTCTCACAGTCTAGGAGGCTAGAAGTCCAAATTCAGGGCACCAGCTCCAGGGGAAGGCTTTCTGTCTCTGTTGGCTCTGGAGGAAGGTCCTTGTCATCAATCTTCCCCTGGTCTAGGAGCTTCTCAGTGCAGGGACCTCGGGTCCAAATGACACGCTCCGCTCCTGGCTCTTCTTTCTTGGTGGCATGAGGTCCCCCTCCTCTCTGCTGGATTCTCTGTTTTATATCTCAAAAGAGACTGACTCAAGATACAAGCTAATCCTGTAGATTGAGTCCTGCGTCATTAACTGGACTGCCTCTAATCCTGCCTCATTAACATCATGACTCCATAGGATGGAGGAGAACTGCCCGATAGGGTTTCCAAGGAGCAGCTGGTAGATTTGAACTGCCAACCTTTTGGTTAGTAGCTGAACACTTACCTACTACACCACCAGGGCTACCATTAACATCACAGAGTTTAGGATTTACAACGCAAAGGAAAATCACATCAGATCACAAAATGGTAGATAACCACACAGTACTGGGAATCACGGGCTAGTCAAGCTGACACACATTTAGGGGACACAATTCAATCCGTAACACATTCCATGCAGCAGGTAGACTCTGTCCCCAGTGAATGGGGAAGCCGAGATACTGAGATCTGTAACTGTCCAGACCCACACAACCAGTGCATGGTGACCTTGAACCCCGGCAATGTGACTGCAGCGGCCCCTACAGCTACCTTACGGGAACTTGTGATTACTTGCTTTATTTATGTATCTGTTGACCTGTTGGTTATTGTCAGTGCCCCGCCACTCTGGCCCTAAGTGTCTTCACCGGACAGGGATCTTGTCTGTCCTGTTCATTGCTGTAGCCCCACTGCCTGGCACAGCGGACGTGCTTGGTAAACCGTGGGTGCTGCTGAAAGCGGACCTCGCACACAAGTAATGAGCCAGAGCAAGCCGATCACTCAGCTCACCTGTCTCCGCCCCCTCGAGACCCGCCCCTTCCCTTGGCCTCCCACAGCCAGAGCCCTAACCTGGTGCAGGAGGCCAGAAGCCCCCGCCTCCACAGCGAGCCCCGCCCACCTTGGCCGTCTTGATGATCTCGGTGAAGTTGTCCATGATGGACTTGACGTCGTCCTTCAGCCGCTTGTTGTAGGACTGCAGCAGTGTCTCTTTGCTCTGCGGCAGAGCTCTCTGCTGGGCCATGGCAGGCGCAGGGGGCCACGGCTCAGGGGCCACCAGTCAGACTCAGCGTGGAGGTCAGACGTCTGCGGGTGGGCGGGGTATAGCCAACCTCAGCCACTCTGGACCTCCACCTTAGCAGAGCATGCAAATTTCTGGAGGTGATGCCGCCTCTGCCAAATAAACCCATCCAGTCATTCAAACACAGAGAATCTCACTCAGTCGCACGCACCGCGGGGCCCCGGGCCTCTTCTCGGGATCACCTCTCATCCTAGTACCAGGTCAAGACCACACACCGGGCTGCCGATGGGGCGGCCCACGCGGCACTGCCGCTGCATGTCCCTCCGGCCCCCAGAATCCCAGAGGCTTCCAAGCTCATGGCCTCCTCCCCTCCCAGCTGACTCCTCCTGGACCTCCTAGTACATCTCAGAGAGCAGCTACCATCCTTGCCCCCCACCCCTTATCCAATCGAGCACCGAGTCCTTTCCATTTCATCCTACGTACCTCCCAGTCCGTTTCCCTCTAGCCTGCTCCTGCCCCATCACCCCTGCACCACCGCCTCCCTCCGTCCCTCCAGTGTCCACACTACAGCCAAGTCGGTCCTAGGGAGTGACTTTGGTTCTGCTACTCCCCTGCGGAGGAGCCCTAGTAGTTCAGTGGTTAAGCGCTCAGCTGCTAACGGAAGGGTTGGATTTTCGAACCCACCAGCCGCCCCAGGGGAGAAAAGGCCTGGCAATCTGCTCCCGTGGATTACAGCCTAGGAAACTATGGGGCAGTTCTACTCTATCACATGCGGTCGTTATCAGTCAGAATCGACTGGACGACACACAATTCCCCTGAAACCTTCCGTGGCCACCCACTGCTCAGAGTGACCAGGCCTGGCCCCAGCTGTCTCAGCACTCTCCTCTCCGGCCACATTGACAGATCCCAGCCCTCGGACCGCCGGGCCTTTGCACATGCTTTTATCAGGGTCCCTGGGCATCCCCCTACCCCGTCGGGGTCTCTGCTGGGACCCCCCTGTCCGCGCCCGGCGGCCACGGCTGCGAGCGCCCTGCGGGCAGGTGACCGCACCGCTCCGGTCGGTGCCAGGCGCGTAGAGCTCCGCGCGCATGGACGGAGATTTGAATGAACAAACTCGCGTCCTTTGTGCCAATTAAAATCACACATAAGGACAAAAAGACGGACCCACACCAGCCACTCCAGTGCTAACACGGGGTAAATGTCCTCAGGGGTCCGCAGGGCCGGGTTCGGAGGTCTGACGGGGAGTGGGGGCGCTGGGCGCGAGCGGCCGACGGGCACCCTTCCTAGAGGGCTCCCGTCTACACCGCCCGCCGCCGGCGCAACCAAACTCTGGACTCCACCGTGCGACCCAGCCCGCTCTTACCTGGCGCCTCTCCGCCGCCTGGGCGCCCAGCCCGTCGCAGTTCTCCGACTCAACTTCCTTTACTGGCCCGCTGCTTAAGCGGACCAAGCCCCCAAGGCCGCTGCGATCACCTCCTCTGAACAAGACAGGCGCTAAGGCGTCCTGTCTCTTTAAATCCAAAATCCCGCGCAGGCACCAGTTCTCGCGTTCTCCGAGGTCGCATACATATTACCCACAATCCCGTTCTTTTCTCTCTCGTCCATCCGCCCAAGATGGTGAGTGAGTATGGAACTTGTGGTGCCGGTGCCGGCCCGGGTGCTATCCGCTGCCATCCTCCTCGGGGCGCGTCCCCACAGGGCCCCGTCCTCTGCCTGGTGGCAGGGAAGCCCCTCGGGGGCTGGCGCGTAGGCTTCAGTCCGGGGTATTGGGACGGTTGGAGAAAGGATGCGGGTGCGATGGTCCCTGCGCTGCCGGCGAGGGAGGCGGGCAGGGAGCGCAGCGCCGCAGTGCATATTCGTAGCGGCCGGGGGCTTGGCGAAGGGTCTGCGTCCGCTGTTGCTGCTTTTCGGCCTCCTGCGCACCGCACGGCGAGGGCTTAAAAGCCACGACCCCCTTTTAAAGGATCTGGAGAGCTCCGAGACGGGGATTTGGGAGGCGGCGGCCCGGATCTCACAGCTCTGACCTCAGACGTTGAGATCCGTGAACAGAGAGCTGGGGCGCGCGATTCTGGACCAGCTCTGGCTGAGGGTCCGCCAGGACGCCGCCCAGCGCTGTCGGGCCCGTGCAGATGATGGCAGAGAATGTTTGCTAAGTGACAGTGAGGACGCTTCCTCCACCAAGATCGCTGATGCACGAGTGGGCTCATGGCCGCGGCTGCACTGCGTTTACTGGGGGGCAGGGCTTTGTCGAAAGGGCTGGTTTGGGGCAGGGCTTGTTGACCACCCGTTTTCCAAGTGCCAGTCCTCTACAAAGAAGCTACGAGGAGGCGAGGTGGCAGTGTTAACTGGGTTTTCTTTTTGCCAAGCCAAAAGGAAAGAAGGCTAAGGGGAAGAAGGTGGCCCCGGCCCCTGCTGTCGTCAAGAAGCAGGAGGCCAAGAAGGTGGTAAATCCTCTGTTTGAGAAAAGGCCCAAGAATTTCGGCATCGGTGAGTAGGAAAAGGGGCGCGTGGTAATAGGTTTTTTTTCTGTGTTCTTCCCATTGAAGAAGGTCGTTTGTCGAGCAAAGGCTACGTCAAATATATCAGAACTGTAGGTTTTAGTGGTTTTGAAGTGAAGACTACTGGGATTTAAATTGTTTTTCTGCTACATGGTAGCTGTAAACTCAGTTCTTAACCAGTGACCCTTTGAAATGGGGGCCAAGAGGGTACAGCCTTCCAGGGGTTCATTGTGAGTGAGCATGTGCTAGCATTCAGTAATACACTTAACACTTTGGACACAATATTGATGGGTGCGCCTTGGCTTCTTGTTGGATGAGGAAAGGTACGCCAGTCTCCCCCGCGTCCTAGGGTGTCTGTGTGCAGATGATGTAAAAGAATATTTGCTATCTGAAAGATGGTGATGCCATATAAACCACCAAGATCTCTGATGCACCTACACTCACTGGCCGCACTCATACACGTGACGAGGCATTTGAACCTCACCCTGCTGCCCATTACTTCTCAGGACAGGACATCCAACCCAAAAGGGACCTCACCCGCTTTGTCAAATGGCCCCGCTACATTCGGCTGCAGCGGCAGCGGGCTATCCTCTACAAGCGGCTGAAAGTGCCCCCTGCCATTAACCAGTTCACCCAGGCCTTGGACCGCCAGACAGGTGAGTTCTGTGGTATAAAATCAGCATTTGGAAAGGTTACCGTCTTTGCTTTGACGGTCAGTAAACAGGCGTTTTGAGGGGAGTGGATATTATTAAGTAGGGCAGTTTTTTAAACCTAGGGTTTTTGGTCTAGTTTCCAGAACACTAAGATGACTTTGGTTTTGGCCTAACTGAAGAGATTAACCTGTACATGGCCTCAGGTTTACCCCGCTGCACTCGTCAGTGCGCATGTACGCCGACTGACAAGGGTTAAATCACAAACCTAACCTGAAGAGTGTTTCTCAGCTACTCAGCTGCTGAAGCTGGCCCACAAGTACAGACCAGAAACGAAGCAGGAGAAGAAGCAGAGGCTTTTGGCCCGGGCTGAGAAGAAGGCTGCTGGCAAAGGGGATGTCCCCACCAAAAGACCCCCTGTCCTTCGAGCCGGTGAGTGGGTGCTTCTCAGAGGGGTAAGCGGTGGGGCGAGCTGTTGCAATGATGATGATTTTTCACTTGAAGTGACCGTGAGGGGTGAATTGAGCTTTTTAACACTGAGTCACAGCTGAGGCCCCTGTGGAACTGCTTGCTGTGTCCTGAGTGGCCACCCTGCATGCTCATGCAGACTCCTTGTGTGTTGCAGGGGTCAATACTGTCACCACCTTGGTGGAGAACAAGAAGGCCCAGCTGGTGGTGATCGCACATGACGTGGACCCCATCGAGGTACGTGCGGCTTGTCCTTATCTCTGGCTGCTAACCTCAGGTCGGGTGCTCATGTCCTTGCTGGAAGGATGGATGGCGTAGGCTTAGCACTGAGTCTGGCAGCCGAGGGTCAGCCCTCTGCGTGCGTGCGTGCGTGCGTGCAGGGCTGACCCAGGGACCCCAGGTGGCTCTGCGGTGATGTCAGTCTCTCTCTGAATAACTCTTGAAGTGCAAACATGAGCTTTTTAACCCTGAGCAGTTGCTGCCAAACTAGCCTTTTAAATGATTCCTTCTGGTCAGAATGTACTCTTCAGCTAAGGTTGTTTTCCAGCTGGTCGTCTTCCTACCGGCCTTGTGTCGTAAGATGGGGGTTCCTTACTGCATCATCAAGGGGAAGGCCAGACTGGGACGTCTCGTCCACAGGAAGACCTGCACCACTGTAGCCTTCACACAGGTGAACTCGTAAGTATAAGACCCTGCCCCAAACCTCCCAGGAATCAGTGGAAGGGGATAAGAACACTTTCTAAAGTTCACTTAATTTGTTTGTCAGGATTTTACTTTTTTAAAAGACCATTGTTCTAGCTCAAGGGACACATTTATCTGAGTACTAACGATCCTTTGCCAATGATGGTTGAGAATTTCTTCACCTGAAAAACCATGTGGTTATGTTTTATCTGAGGCAAAAGGTTTGTGTTTGGTGCAAAAAATGAAATCATTTCTACTTTCCTGAAAGAGTAATTGAGAGACAAGCCCAGGGCTCACGTTTTTCCCTGCCTCTTTAGGGAAGACAAAGGAGCTCTGGCTAAGCTGGTGGAAGCAATCCGGACCAACTACAACGACAGATACGATGAGGTGAGGTGTGCTTTCACGCAAAGCACTACTTTGGGTAAATCAAACCTTTTTCCCAAAGACTGGCTGGTTGTCTTAACTCTTCATGGACAGTTCTGTTTGGTGTTCAGTATGGAACCACCAAACGGACCAGCTTGACTAGAGTGGTTTGGAAGCCTCTGGAAATGACAAGCCAAACTAACCGCCTTTGCTTGTTACAGATCCGCCGTCACTGGGGAGGCAATGTCCTGGGTCCCAAGTCTGTGGCTCGCATTGCCAAGCTGGAAAAGGCAAAGGCCAAAGAACTCGCCACCAAACTGGGCTAAATGTACACAACTGATTTTTCTGTACATAAAAATAAAACTTACCCTTCAGCCAGTGTCCATTTGGCATTGTGGGTTGAAGGTATGCATGTTTGTGGGGGTTGTGACAAGTATGTATTCAAACTGTCCATATCTGCTCTAAAGTATAATTTATGTATCGAGTTTAGTCATTCTTTGGAACAAACTAAGCCAGGATTTTCAAGTCAACTGGTTGCCAACTCATTTAGGTAGAAAGAAATAAAGGTACAGTGTGTGAGCCCAGGAGTTTTATTTATACCACATGATCCAACATAAAAATCTCTTGGAAACGCTGTACATCCAGTGACTCCTGATTACTTCATGGACAGGCTCTCGGCTATCTCAGGAGGGCAGGCCGGCGCATGAATTTCTTAAGCCACAGGTACGACGTGGCTGCACACAGGCCGTACCTTGGGTGGAAAGAAGGGCTGTGTCACCTTCTGAAGGGGGAGGGGCAGCAGGGGGAGAGCTGGGGACTCACCAGGTAACGATGTACTGCAGGTGCTCGTTCCTCAGGGTGACACGCGTCTGGCCTCCGATGGGCCCTCCAGGGACGGTGCTCTCTAAGGGGACAGTAGACCTGCTTCAGCCATCGGGGCTCTTCTCAGCTGTCATTTTGGCACAGGTCACATCACTTCATTAAGGCCTTAACCACCTCCCCAGCCTTGCCTTCTTTTTAGTATACTTTGCATGCTGCTGCTACTAATCGGTGCCGTTTCTCTCAAGCGCCAAGTTAAAGGCAGCATTTGGAAGCCGTCAGGATTCAGAGGGAGACAGAAGAGGGTATTTACAAAAGCTACTTGATCTTGCACAGTTGGGCAGGTGATAACGTACGGAAGTCGGCGTCAATGAAGATGGGGTCTGCGCCTGTGGCCCTGGCCATGGCTTCCAGGTCCCGGTAATGCCACTGGTTCTTCTCTGGATTGTTCTCAGGCACAAACGGTTTCCTGGTTTCTGTCAGCCTGACCATTCCGACTAGGTCTACTTCCCCTTCTATCTGTAAGGGAAGGTGTAGTAAAGGTGCTTAGGGCGGAGGAGAGGAGCCTGTGGAGACTGCACAGGCAGGGCATGTCCCTTACCTGGCCCTTCTGCCTGGTCTCTGGGTTCACCTTCCTCCTGGGGACGAACCCTCTGTTTACCAGGATGGTGGTTCTGGAACAACAGTGGCACCCATACTCAGCACAGTCTGGGGGCAGTTTTAACCCGGGAGGGGTCTGAACAAAGGTGACGGCACACTGCACAGGCCGGCAAACAGGAACCATGGGGGTGTCTCAGACAAAGGGCAAAGCCTGGGTCGGGGGGCTTTCTCTAGGAACCACCACAGCTCCCAGGAACGCTTCAGAACTGAGTGGAGATGGCCCTTGGCGTGCTGCTAACCTCTACCTTTTTCTCCACTGGTAATAAAAGGTCCCCGCCCTCGGAGGTCGGCCACCAAGAGTTCTGGCTGACACTCAGCTACCTCAGTCTCCCCCTTGTGCCCCGCTCCTTGCAACACTGACCAGTGGTGCTGCCTTTGTTCAGAGACCCGTCACCTCCATATCGACATGGCCACTGAGATTGTCAGAATCAAATCTGAACCTGTCATGTCCCTGAAGATGTCTCGGCATGACTCCAGGGCCCACCTGGCTGGCCACCCAGCTGCCTCTGCTCCACGGTCTGGCTTCTCAGCACTGGCATGCTTCAGCTTGCTAGAAACTTCAGGCTGCCCCAGCCCTACGGTATCAGCCTGCATCTTCACCAGAGCCCCAGGCTTCCAGTGCCCAGTACATCACAGGTGCTTCCTTTGCCTCGAATGCTCCTTCCCGTCTCTTAAGCTTTGCCTCTGATACCACCCCTGCCCCCACAAAGCCTTCCCTGACTCTCAGCTCCTGGAGGCAGAGTTGGGGAGTTCATTTCTGTTGAGTTCCTCTTGCTGGCCCCCTATCACACTGCCCTATAATTATTAATTTACAAGTTGTTCAGTAATAAATGAACTGCCTAGGAAGATTGCTTAACCAATGTCAGAATTACGGCTTTGAAATTCAAGGACATGAACTTTTCTGGGCATCTTGGATCCCACAGGGCCTTACCAAGGTTGGGGGTTGAGAGAAGGCCAACGGTGGGTTATTGTGACATCACTGGAAAACCAGCGTGCTCTGGAACTGCACCTGCCGTGCATGCCAGCCAGTTCCCTGTCCATCCTACTTACCCTAGGTCAGAGCAGTGAAGGGGGGTGATGACGTAGGCGCCACTCTTGGCCGAGGACGAGATCCGGCCAGCCTCCTGGGCTTCCCGGGCTGGGTCCACCATGGTCCGTGGCATCACGTACAGCTCTTTGGAGTGGTCAAAGCGCCCTCTGACCCTCACTGGCCTGTACTCCAGAGTGTTCAGCTCCAGTGGGCTATAGGTGGGGAGAGAGAGAGATGGAGAGGGAGCCACTGGGCTAGGTGGAGAGGAAGAGGGAGTTGAGCCCACGCGAGGCCCAGCAAGAAAACACCCTCAAGGGCCACGGCTGCAAACTACTAAGCCTGGGAGGGCCAGACAAGTGAACGGTGACACTGCAGGGCACAGAGGGGGCTGGAGAGGCAGGGCATGCCCTCTAATAGGGCAGGTGGTACTCAGCCCAGCCCTCTGATGCCATGTGGGAGGGCAGCAGAATCACTCGGCGTACCTTTTCAAAACAACACTGTTGCTTCCGGACCTTTCGTCCACCCTCACCTGCAGCCAGACATCACTGCTCTAGAGGGCCGTCAGCACGGGGGGAGGGGAGGGCCTCAGGTACGCTGGACCTGAGACAGGGTGAAAGCCAGGGCTCAAAGGTAAGATGTTTCTGTGTCTGTGTGGCAGCCTCAGGCAGCTTCGCAGGGCTGCTGGGTTCCAACAGGAAACCCAGCAGAGTCTGACGCTGGTGGGCTCCTGTCTGAGGGCCAGGACGTGCCTGACAAGGCCCTGTCAAGAGGAGCCAGGAGGCAAGCAAAAGCCAGGGCTCCGCTGCTGACCAGCCCAGGCAGACGGCCACACACTCACTCTGCTGGCAGAGGGATGGGCTCAGCCATGACTCGAGACTCTAACTCCGCAATCAGCTTCAGCTTCCACTTCCGACGCTGGACCTATGGACACAGCATAAGCAGACCTCGAGCAGATGGCAGTGGACCAAAGGCTCAGAGGCAGCCAGGTGAGACACCAGCCTTTACCTGCCATGTCCCCAGGCCAAAGGCAGTCACAGGGACGAGCAGCAGGAGCCACTGGAGAAGGGGGTCATCCTCCGCTTTTGTGGCAGATGCTTCTGCTGCAGAACCGCCACACCTGCTTGGCCTCCAGGCCACTCCTAGAGGGGGCAAGAGAGGTGGGCGGTGGTGGCTTCACAATACTGATGCGGGTCAGAGCCCAGAAGGAACAGCACTAAAGCAGCCAAGCCCTCAAGAGCTCTCCCTCCGCCAACGTTAAGAGAACACAGCACACGGGCGAACACGCCACAAGTGCAGGTCGGAGCCAACTAGCGGCACGAGCTCAGCGCCCAGCCCAGCTCCTACCCCAGTGCCCAGTGACCGGCACATGGCACACACTCGGTGAGTGTTTGCTAACTGAGTAAATGAGCCCCCAGGGCTTCTCCCAGCCCTGCCACCAACCCTGACCCTGCATAACTTACGTAACCACCTCATGGTTTTTCACTCAAGAATGCAAGAAGGGGCACTGGGTATTCACGCATTTGCTCAAGACACATTCAGCAAGCGGCTATGTGCACCACTGGCTGCTGTGTTCTGAAGAGGAGAAGACACGGTACCTGCCCTAAACTCAGAATGGTGGTTTACGAAGCTCCCTTCAAAGCTGCTCTTTCTCATTGCCCATCAGAAATTTAAAGAGGGTTGTACAAGGAAAGGTCATGGAAGTTCCATGGACACATCCAAACTCCCTGAGAGGCGTAGTTTATAAAGACAATGTTCTACATTCTACCTTGGTGAGTAGCGTCTGGGGTCTTAAAAGCCTGTGAGCAGCCATCTAAGATACTCCACTGTCTCATCCCTTCCGGAGCAAGGGAGAGTGAAGAGAACAGGATACAAGGAAAAGATTAGTCCAAAAGACTAACGGACCACAACTGCCGTGGCCTCCACCAGACTGAGTCCAGTACAGCTAGATGGTGCCCGGCTACCACCACTGACTGCTCTGACAGGGATCACAACAGAGGGTCCCGGATGGAGCTGGAGAAAAATGTAGAATAAAATTCTAACTCACAAAAAAAGACCAGACTTACTGGCCTGACAGAGACTGGAGAAACCCCAAGAGTATGGCCCCTGGCACCCTTTTAGCTCAGTAATGAAGTCACTCCTGAGGTTCACCCTTCAGCCAAAGATTAGACAGGCCCATAAAACAAAAGGAGACCAATGGGGCACAACAGCTCAGGGGCAAGGACTAGAAGGCAGGAGGGGACAGGAAAGCTGGTAACAGGGAACCCAAGGTCGAGAAGGGAAAGTGTTGACATGTCGTGGGGTTGGTAACCAATGTCATAAAACAATATGTGTACTGTTTAATGAGAAACCACCTGTTCTGTAACCTTTCATCTAAAGTACAATAAAAAAAAAGAAATTTAAAGATGGAACAGTACACACAAAGGTGCGTCATAGGGTGTCCCTTGAGAATGGCAGAAAAGCAGGCCAGGAGAGGCTCTCAAGGACCCTTCACTTGTGCACAGCCCTCTACACACGGCAAAAGACCCTGCAGGACACTGAAAGGCGGCATGTAAATCATGACTATGCTTCAGAGCCCTGGGTTTGAACCCTGGGTCTGTTACTCAATAGTTGGATGAGATGTCGGGCAAGTTATGCAACCTCTCTGACCCCTACTGTTGTGATAACAAAGCACTCACAGCAGTGTTGGCAAGGACCCTTAGTGGCACAACGGGTAAGTGCCAGGCTGCTAACCGAAAGTCTGTGGTTTGCACCCACCCAGCCACTCCACGGGAGAAAAGACTGGCGATCTTTGTGGCAGTTCTACAGTGGTTATGAGCTACTGCTGCTAATCAAAAGGTCGGCAGTTTGAATCCACCAGCCGCTCCATGGAAACCCTATACGGCAATTCTACTCTGTCCTAAACGGTCGCTATGAATCAGAATCCACTCAGTGGCAATGGGTTTGGTTTTTGTTTCTTTTTATGGGGTCACTGTGAGTTGGAATCGACTCCTTGGCACCCAACAACAACAGTACCAGCACAAAGTCAAGGCTTGGGAAAACGCATTTCACATAAAATGTTATTTTGTGAAAAACTTCTTCCACATAGAACCTGCATTCAGTCCAGAGCTAGAGACTTTAATTCCCAGGACACCCCTTCAACGTGGAGGACAGGAAGTAGGGTAGCTTTCCCCAGGTCCCTAAATCACGCTCTGGACACACTCTTCCTCACCTGGGCGCCAGGGGGCCCCAAGGACGCTTCTCCCGGCGGCGCTGCCCGAGGCCTGCGGAGACAGAGGGTGGGCTGGTGGCGCGCTCTTGGCCCCGCGCCCCCTCTTCCCCGGCCCTCCCCGGCCCCGCACCCCTCTCCCCGGCCCCCCGCTCCCTCTTCCCCGGCCCTCCGCGCCCCGTTCACCCCTCCCCGGCCCTACACGCTCCCCGCTCACCGGCCCCGCGCCCGCCGCGCGAAGCAGCAGCCTCAGCCCCGCCGGCCCTAGCCACCGCACCGCCATCTCCACCGGCAGCCCGCGAGCGCTTCCGGGGCGCAGGCGCATCTGCTTCCGGGACGCCGCCGAGCCGGCCCGGTCCAAGTGTGTGCCACGCGGGCGGCAGAGCATGGGCGAGCCCTCGACGGACGTGCGCGCTTTCCTGCGGCAGCACCCGGGTTTGCGGCTCGAGCCTGGCGGCGCCAAGGTCCGCGGCGGCGCCGGGGCGCGAGGTTGGGACGCGGGGCGGGAGCCGGGCCCCTGACCGCGCCGCCCTCCTCCCACAGGTGACGTGCACCCTGACGGGCCATGAGCTGCCCTGCCGCCTGTCCGAGCTGCAGGTCTACACCCGCGGCAAGAAGTACCAGCGCCTGGTGCGCGCAGTCCCTGCCTTCGACTACGCGGAGTTCGAGCCGCACATCGTGCCCAGCACCAAGAACCCGTACGTGGGCGCTACCGTGGGAGCGAGGGAGGCGGCTACGTGGGGGCGAGGGGGACAGCCACCTCCCTGTGCACCCTGGGCCCCTATCTCCGAGCCCCTTGGAAGGGAGCCCACCACCGCCAGGGCCTCCCCTGTGGAACTGCCGCTTTCCCGGGCTGTGTGTGCCCGGGACTGAGGGGTCCTGGTCTCCCCACGTCGCGGGGAGGACAGTTACCAGCGCCGAAGTATGGCCACTGAAGGGGTAGCTCACTCTGGTTCCCAAGTCCAGGCCGCCTCCTTTCTGGCTCAGCGCTCCTCACAAGGAAAGGCCTTTCCGTGAGTCAGGAGACTTGGGTTCCAGGTGGGAGTCTGGTGCTGTGAGTCACCTGTAATCCCCGGAGAGCGAGGCTTGTCGTCTGTGCTCCGTGCCTTCACAGAGGAGCAGGAACACTGTGCTCTGTCCCCTAAGGCTCCAAACGATGTTAGCTTCACTTCTACTTGAAAGGGGATCTTTGATTTAGCTGCATGATGGCTGACGAGGGACGGGGTGAGGAGGGGGTGGTGGTGGGCGTCCGTGCCTGGCACCTTCTGCCACGCTTGTTGCTGTGTCTTCAGCATGCGTGATTTCGTCCTTGAGCCCTGCTGTGGTGCCCACCTGCTGCAGCGTGGACTTGCTTGGGAGCTTTGAAAACCCCGATGTCCGAGCTACGCTGTAGACCGTTCCCATCAGACATCTGGGGATGGGCCAAGTGATTTCCAGATGCAGCCAGGGCAGAGAGCCACTGGCCTGGCTCCTTTCCTGGGAAATTTCTCCACAAACCAGTGTCTCCCTGCCCCTTAGGCGCCAGTTGTTTTGCAAACTCACCCTGCGGCATATCAACAAGCGCCCGGAGCACGTGCTCAGGCACACCCGGGGCCGCCGCTTCCAGAGAGCGCTGCAGAAGTGTGAGTACCATGGGGCTCCTTCAGAGAGCACACAGGGCAGGGCGCCGCGGGGGGCGGGGGGCGGCCTCAGCCCTTCCCATTCGCATGGTTGTGTGTGGGGCAGGCTCCCGCACGGTGCACAGGTGGGCGGTGGTTCTGACTGAGTGGGCTCAGCTTAGTGGGAGCCGGATGCAGAGCAGGAAGTCAACTTAGAAGCGATTGCCAGTGTGGTCCACCCAGTGCAGGAGACATGGCCGACGGAGTGACTGACCAGGGGGCTGGCCCTGGACAGGAGGGCTGGAGACGCTCTCCGAGGGTCTGTTCCTAGGTTGAGGCGGGAGGGACATGAGAAGTGGGGGCCGCAGGGAGAAGAGAGGGTCTGTGCAAGGTCTGAGGCACAGAGCTTGGCTGTGCTAGTAGCTGTGCCAGCATGCAAGGGGTGGGGAACATCAAAGGGGACAGACTGTGGAGTCATGGGGCCTTGGCCAGGAGCGTGCGTGGTGGGGGCACTGCCGGGGCTCAAGCAGGCGGGGGCGCTCCAGTTCCTGTCCCAGGATTGCACTTGCAGAGGAGCGTGGACTGGGGTGGTGGGAAGGAGCAGAGGGGCTTGTCTATGTTGAGGACACAGCAGCCCAGCCCCCACGCCCCTCCCGAGCCAGGGACTCCCCCTCCCTGTGCCAGCTGTTCAGCTTCCCTGGGTTGTCAGCATGTGAGGAAACAGGTGAGTCCTGTGAGGACCTTCCACGGAAGCCCCATCCCAGCTCCTCTGCTCGAAGCCCAAGGTGGGCAAGGGCCAGGCAGTCTAGTTCCACCAAGACACACATCCAGGGCGTGGTCCCAGGCCACCGTGCCTGAGAGAAAGACTCCAGCCAGGCTGCAGGTGACGGGCTGGTGACAAGCTGACATCACCTCCAGGCCGAGCTGCATTTGAGAGCTGCCTGCCAGCCCTACCTGAGCCTGCTTCGCCCAGCTGTCAGCCTACTCAGTGTGCCCCCAGCCACGGCTTCTTGTGGACTGGCTGGAACCGGAGGAAGGGACGGTGGCGGCCAGTAGACCTGTACCATCTTCTTGCCTCTCGGCCACAGCGCACGCCTCCCGTCCCCCTCCGTGCCTGCTGGGAGCGGGGCTGGTGGCACTGACCTGCTGCTATGGGGTGGGGCCCTGGGCCCTGGCCAAGCAGCATCGTGGGTCACTCGTAGCAGAGAGCTGTGCGCTGACGGGCCCCTGCCACCCCCAGATGAGGAATGTCAGAAGCAGGGCGTGGAGTACGTCCCGGCCTGCCTGCTGCACAGGAGGCGGCGGCGAGAAGACCAGGACGGGGGCAGACCGCCTGGCGGAAGGGTTGACTTCTGGGAGCCCGCATCCAGCCATGAGGGGGGATCGCAGAGTGACGACAGTATGACAGACCTGTATCCACGTAAGCAGGCGCGCCCTCCCCAGGCCTGGCCCCACGCACGGCTCTGTCCATCCTCGTGCTTTGCTGTGCTCTGAGTTCTGGGCTCCGTGGCTGTCCACGCCCCCGTTGCCCAGCGCAGTCAGTGGCTCTCGCCGTCATCTCTCCCGCTGTGTGTCCTCCTCCCCTGGCTGCCCCCTTGCCCCTCAGCGCCGTCACAGAAGCATGAGCTTCAGCCAGCCCCCTACTCCTTGCAGCCGAGCTGTTCACCAGGAAGGACCTAGGAGGGGCCGAGAGCAGGGACGGCACTGACAGCAACGAGGACGAGGACGCGCCAGGGCCTCCCAGAGGGGAAACGGGGAGCAGAGGGGAGGGGGCAGACGCCGGCCGGGCGCTGGTCCGGAAGCGCAGGAAGGTGAGTCGCTGTGCACAACTCCCAGGCTACTAGGTACCAGCTCCTGCTGGCAGTTTACAAATTCTTTAAACAAAATAGGATCTTTTCCACATGTGAAATCGCAAGCCAGCACATAAATGAAAGTCAGCCAGGACTGCTTTAACGGGGGGACGGGCAGGCTTCCCACTTGCTTCTAGGTTGTAGCTGCCCCAAAAGCCTTCCACGGAACCAGGCTCCACAGAACGGCTTGAAACCCACTGGTCTGACAGAAACTAGTAAACTGAGAGCGGTTTTTTGTTTTGTTTTTGCCATTGCGGAAAAGTAATGTGGGGGGAGGAAACCAAACTCCTTGCCACGAAGCCAGTTCCCACTCATGGCAACCCCGTGCGTGTCAGAGTAGAACTCTGCTCCACAGGGTTATCAGGAAGCATATCACCAGGCTTTTCTTCCGAGATGCCTCTGGTGGACTTGAACCTGTAGCCTTTCAGTTAGCAGCCGAGCACTTCACCGTTTGTGCCACCCAGGGAGCTGGAGAGAAGGGTGTTTCCTTGCTCGGTGCCATCCTTTATCTTTGCAGTAGAATCAGGAATGGAGATCGGGGTAGATAAACAGGATCACGGCTAGAGAGGTTCCAGGTCTTTACTGCAAACCTATGAAATGCTGAATGTGGCCCTTTAGTGTGTTCCATGGGGACCCTGTCAGACCCAGTAGCTGCAGGCAGCAGCGCCTTTGGTATGCTCCGTGGGGACTCTGACCGGCAGCCGTGAGGAGTGTGGCCCTTTGGTATGTTCCGTGGGGACTCTGACCGGCAGCCGTGGGGAGTGTGGCCCTTTAGTATGCTCCGTGGGGACTCTGACCGGCAGCCGTGGGCAGTGTGGCCCTTTGGTATGCTCCATAGGGATGCTCTCTGACCGGCAGCCGCAGGCAGTGGGGCAGGACAGCTGACGCAGTTTCAGAGCAGCACCTCTGGATGTGTGTGGGGTGGGGTGTGGTGGGTTGGGGAGGCCGACCCACAGAGCTCCGTCCTGGGATCAGGGAGACCCTTGTAATTGGGAGTCTGTCTGTGTCACAGAAGCAGCTGGGCTCATTGAAGTTGAAAAGACACCACTCCAGACCAAAGAGCTTCAGCTTGGAGAAGGAGTCGGGCTCCTGAAGTGCTGGGAACACGTCTCCACAGCTTCCAGAGAAGTCCCTCGGGTACCTCCCCGTCTGTTCCTGCTTCAGGCTGCCCAATGTTGCCGTGCCTTCCCCACCCACCCGCTGCCTGGAGGCAGGGCCAAGATGGCTGAGTTCCCCCTCCCCAGGAGGCAGCGGTCTTTGGGAGGAAGCTTTCCACCTGGACTCGGCTTGTAAGCAGCCGTGGAGGTGAACCAGCCTAGCTCAGGACAGCAGGCCCAGATGGGACCCAGTGTGGACTAGAGGATGCCAGATGATCACACTGCATACAACAAATGCCATTATTTATTTTGAAGTTTCCAAAAATCAAAACGTTTTCAAACACAACTAAGATATAAAATACAGCATAAAGTGAGATTTATACCTATTTCCCACGTAAAGCAAAAAAATTTTCAGAAATTGTTTTGCCAAAACCAATTGGTAGGTGGTACATCCCCAGCGCCAGCCTGCTCAGGGCCAGGGGAGACGGGAACAGCCACAGCCGAGGCGCAGAGCCCGGTGATGGCGCCACTCGGCCTGCTTGGGGCAGTCCTGCTTTCCACAAAGCAAGTCTTCCGAGCATGGGGCCAAGGGGGACCACCACCCTACCAAAAACGGTGGCCAGAGAGACTCGCGTGGCCAAGTGTCATTGGCTGGGCGGCCCTCCTGTGTGGACAGGGAAGGGGATGTGGACTAAGAGATGCCCCTGCTGGAATTGAGATGCTGTGGTAGAGCCCGTCCCTCCACGTTGAGCATCTGAGTGGCAGTGCTGACAGCCTCTCTGCCCTTAGCCACTGCTTCACCTTCTAAATGCCGGGGGTGGGCAAAGGAGCAGACCCTTGTGGGGAGGCTCAGAAACATCCTGGGATGAGCCTCCACTGGGTGGGACGTGGGGTGGGGGAAGCTAGAGAGGGCACCTGTTACCCCACCTGGTCAGGTGAGCCTGGGCTGGCTCTAAGCCCTGGTGGGCAAAAGCCTGCCCCCTTCCCCAGCCCCAGGGTTGTGGGGAAGGAGTCCCTGCCCTCCTCCCGGCTCGGGACTGGGTCCAGAGCCAGCACCGGGGATGGGTCTAAGTCTTGCACACCTAGTTGAGGACAGGTAGGGCTTCTGATGGGCCTTTGAGAGACTCCATCCCGAGTCTGGCGTGAGCTGCTGCCTGCCCCCCACCCGCTGTTAGGCACTGTGCCTCAGTCACCCTCACCCTGTCCGCCAGCCCCCAGGAGGATCCACATCCAGTGAGCACAGCCCCAAAAAGAAACACAGTATAAGGCAATGTTAGAAAACTTTAAATACAGGATTAAGATCAAATCGGTAAGGCATCACAAATTGTAATTTTGGCTGCATTCAGCAGAGCAAAGACAGAATCTGAGCGAGCAACAGCCTCGTGAGAATAGTCAGTCAGGGCCGCCCGAGCGAGACAAGCCTCAGCCGGGAAGAAGGTGGACAGGCACAACTGCCAGGTCAGCGCCTGTGGATTTGAGAGCTTGCTCTGGAAAGGTCAAGTGTGAGGTAACAAGCCCACGGGCCCTAGAGTCTGCTGTCACTGTGCTACCCCATGGCAGCTGTCCCCACTGCAGGTTGGCGAGACAGGAGGTGGCCGGTCGACTGGTGGGGTGGCACTGCTGGCAGGCCTGCGTGGTGTGTGGTGCCCTGGCCAGCCTTCCCGAGTGCAGCCTCAGCCTCAGGACGCCTGTCCTGCAGCCACTCTCCTGACTGAGGGCCATCACCCAGCAGAAACCTCTGCACCCAGCTGACGTGATTAGGGACTTTTGCTGTAAGCAGCAGCTCCAGTTGGCCCTCTAACACTGCATCACTTCTCTGGGTTCTGGGTCTCTTAAGTTTGTACTGTCCTATAAAGTATTACGAGGGGCAGAAACCACCTTAAAGCCACCTGGCTGCAATTTCAGACCAGGGAGTCTGACAGCATGTGTGATGTCTGGCCAGGCCACCCCAAATCATTTAGTAGTTTTAGCTAAGAATGTAAACTTTAAAAATAATAAGAGGGAGACTGCTTTGAGTGATACACAAATGCATCTGCTCACAGTACAGCTTGAAGGCCTCCCTACCCACTCCCCAAAAGAGAAACAAACCCAAAAATAGGACCGAGGGGCCACAACTAGCCAGGCTGCCCACCCCACGCGGCCTGGACTGGGGGGCTCTAACCATCTGGCCAGCACTAAATACTCAGATACCCAATGGTAGTTCCAAGGCAGCTTTCGCCATCAATTTTCAGGTGTCTGCAAATAAAGTTCTCAGAACATCTGTGCCTTTACCAAGGAAGGGGAGGGAAGAGGATACATAAACGCTGGCAGTTTCGTCGAATCCGCCCTGGGCAGTCCTCGCCGGCCGCTGGCCCAAGCTAGTCAGGGACAGGGCCTGTTACCACTCCTTCTTCTTCTCATCCATGGAGACACCCCCAGGGCCCAGAGCCACCACCAGGAGCAAGCCTCCAATCACGGACATGGTCTGGAAGAAGTCATACTTCAGGAAGTCGTGCATGGGCTTATAGGCCGGAATGGTCCAGAAGGCGTTGAAATACACGTTGATGGCGAAGAGCCAGGCGACAAGAGTCAAGGCCGCCAGCTTGGTTTTGAAGCCGATGGCCACTAAGATGATGAGAGCCGTGCCCACGATGTTCTGGAGGATCTGCACGGGTCAGAGTGAGAGATGCAAAATGAGCGAGGGAGAGAGACGTGGGTCATGGTTCACAAGCAACAAGCCCTAGGCCCTCCGTGTCACTGCAGTATCTGTGCTGGGCAGGTCGTGGTTTACAAGCGACAAGCCCCAAGCACTCCGTGTCACTGCAGTGTATGTGCTGGGCTCTGCTAGCAGATGGCCGCTTCAGAGAGAAGACAGAGAGTAAGAGTTGGAGAAGCGAGCAGAGAAGCGGGGACGGGGGAGGTGGACGGTGGATAATGCAACACTGGCTCCGAAGCACGAGTCCCCAGTTAACAGGCTGCGTTTACCAAGATAAATCCCAGTATTTACGTGGTGGATCCCTAAACCACAACTAAATCCCCAAGCCCTTACCCACCCAGTTATCCCAGCTGGAAAGAGCCTCCCCCCCTGCCTCGGCCCCTGGGTGCCCTTCATAGCTGCCTGGCAGGGCTCACCCTCCCCTCTGGCCTGGCCCCGCCCCCCCTCCGGCCTGGCCCCAAGCCAACCCCGGCCTGGCCCCACCCTCCCCTCAGGCCTGGCCCTGCTCTGCAAGCTCCAAGGACAGGGCCTGCCCTCTGTGACCCCAATACCTGCAGACAAAAGGGGCTCAACTAAGGTCACTGAGTGAAAGCAAGCAGAGCACAGGGTGGCGGGGGTGGGAGGTGGGGGGCAGCCTCACAGGGACGGGTCAACAGCCCCAGGATGAAGGCGCTGGGCACCAGGACTGCAGCGGGGCCAGATGGACCCGACTTGGCTTGTTGGAATGGCAGCTTTTCAGGCCTGTGAGCCTGGTGGTTTTTTGTCTGCTTTAAGAGGATCAAGGGGGTGCTCCTTCTGAACCACCTAGTTCCAGATGGGTGCTGGGATGGCTGCAGCTGTGGCTTCCCCTCGGCTCTGCTCAGCGCACAACCAGGGAAAGGGCAGGGGTGGGGAGGGCAGCACGCTTTCCAGGACAAGAGTCAGGCGGTCTGAGCAGCGGGATACTCACAGAGAAGAAGCTGGCATCGAAGTGGAGGAGTGTCATGAACATCAAGACCAGCAGGACCCTGCCCCCCAGCTGCATGTACTGTTTGGGGGAGCTCTCCCGCATAGTAGGGACACCCGCGAACATGCTCTTCCCTTCCGACCGTGACTCTGCCAGGAGTAGCAGCAGGCCTCCTCCCAGGGCCAGGTTCCTAGGAACAAAAGTGCCAGGCTGTGGGCTAGCGCTCAGCAGCCACTAAGCGGCCACCAGGCAAGGTCAGGGCCCCTCCCCGCCCCCAAACGAAAGGACCTGCTGAGCAGGACGCTGGCAGAATGTGGACTTGAAATCTTTATTTATTTACTTTTAATATTGTGTTTTTGGTGAAAGTTTACACAGCAAATTAGGTGCTTATTTAATAATTTATATAAGTTTACTGACATTGGATACATTTTTCACAATACATCAGCTTTCTCATTTCCATTCTAGCTGTCCTGTCCCCCCTTACCTTCTCGTCTTTGGTCTAGGGAAAAAGTTTACTGTTTGGTTTCATTTAGATGATTATTTAGAGGAGCACAGTACTCACAGATAATATTTTATGAGCCAATCTTGGACTTGAAATCTTACAGAACTAAAGCTCTCACATAACTCACACCTGAATGGTGATGGGCAGCCTGAACACACTGGGAACCAGGCTCCAGCCTTGGCTGCACCACCGACCAGCTGGCTGGTGGGGAGTAATTTCAGTCTCATTAGTTAACTCTGGGGCGTGGACGGGGCGGAAAAGGGCTTTACCAGCATCCCCTAGACAGGCTGTTCCCAAGAGTCTTAGTGTGGACCCAAAGCACCTTTCCTCCAAGTGACAACACTGAGGTCAGAGCCGTGAGGAAAGTACAGGACTCACCACCCGGGTCACCTACCTCATCAAGAACTTCAAATCCCATAAGATGCTGTAGGCAATCGTCTGCAGGGAATGGAGAAAAGAGACAGACTGAAGGCTCAGCGCTTTCAAACGCATCTCTGCCTCTAGAACTGACAGCACCGAGCGATCTTCCAAACGTTGAGTGAGGACATTCACAAAACACACAAGGCCGTCTCTAAAAGCACTGAGGGCAGCCCCAAGCTCAACACCCTGGTTCAGTGCTTCTTAGAAAGGGTGGCGTGTGGGCCCTGGGCCCGTGTGATCATCAGAGCTGTGCCTACAACATTCTGGAGAACAGGGTGATTCTGAGACCACTGATCTGGGTTAAAATATGCTACTTTAAATATTTCACCCTGAACAACTAGGTACTCCTCTCCATACAGTGGCATGATAACAAAATAGGGTCCTGGCTGAAAGCCAACCCCGTGTCTTATCCTTTGTCAGAGAGAACTCAGGGAAGTGACGGAAGATGGGCAGGCTGCGCACGCAGCCACTGCCCCGCCCCCGGGTTCTCTGGGCAGGCGCCCCGCTGGCCAAAAGGCTCTCCTGAGCCCACGTCGGGGTAAGCCCGGCCCCTCCCCAGAGAAAAAGGGCCCCAGGCAGTCGGTCACACAGAGGGCTGGAGGACGATGACCCCTCAGAAGGCCTTGCAGCAGCTCTGCTCCAGCCAGGGCACAGAGAAGGAGACCAAAGCGACAGGCTGCTACCTGCAAGGCTATGATTCCGAAGAGTCCGAAGCAGGCGTACTGCACGAAGTTCCTGCTCAGCACCAGGACGCAGCCAGCTGGGAAGGAGAGGCGAGGGTCAGGGTGCTGGGTGCGTCCCCCGGCTCAGTGCAGCTGCAGCCCAAACACCACCCCAGCGAACAGCAGCATTCTAAAACAAGGCCCTTTCTCGCCCCATAACTGAAAGGGTGGGGGGCTACCAGAAGATGGTCTGTCAGAGCGGAGGGAAGCGCTGAAACCAGCAGGTGCCTTGTTCTGGCCTGACACGCCCCCGCCCCGTTCCCTAAGTCCTGCTCCTCCTTTCTGGACGCTGGGACTTTTCCGGAATTCCTGCACTGGCCTCCGACCCCCTAGTGCCCAGCACCTGCTTTGGGTCCTTACGGACAGGGCTGTGTCCTATGCCCTTGGCAAGCCCCAAAGCCACTCGCCCAGGACTGGGTGCAGAGCGCCCACCCAGATACCTGTAGAGCAGACCCCGCCAGGCCTTCCCCGGGAGGAGACCCTGGCATTCCCACACGCCTCCTCATCTCTGCGGACCGACTGCGGGTGCTGTATCGGTGCGGGAAGAGGCCGCCCCGAGGAAGCCACTTACTCAGCTGCCCCAGCAGGTTGAGGAAGACGAAGGAGGAGGCCAGCAGGTAGCCGCAGTTCCAGGTGCTGTCGATGTAGTCGCGCTGCTCGCTCCACTGGAACCACATGCGGATGCCGTCCTCCAGGAAGGTGCTGATGAGGCAGAGGCGCGCCATGTGCGGCAGGTACTGCTTCGTGACGCGGAGGAACTGCGGGCAGACACGGGTCAGGGGCTGCCCCACACCCAGACCACAGCTGGGCCGGGGCACGTGGCCAACGGCCACGAAGGACGGAAGCTCTGGAGGCCCAGCACCTCCCCACAGCCTGGTGGCTCTCAGCACCCCGTCCCGGCGATGAGCGACTCCCCTGAGCCCATCCGGCTCAGACCCCGTAAGGCACTGGCCGGCACACTCCTCTATCTATGGCTCCCCCACCTCCTTGGCTGGCGCTTTGGGTGGCAACAGGGCCTTCAAGCACGGAATCACCATATGATCACAGCTGCCATCAGGGCGTTCACAGCTGCATCACAGGAGGATACGCTGGGAAGACCCTCAGAGACCACCTTGTCCAGGCTTCCTCCGTCTCCATGCTGTTGGCATTTGGGCCGGATAACCCCTCACGAGGGGCACTGTCCTGTGCGGTGTAGCAGCTCCCTGGCCTCCACCCACCCGATGCCGGTGGCAGTCCCTCCCCTTGTGACAACCAAAACTGCCCCAAGACATTAAAAAATGTCTCCTGGGGGCCAAATGATCCCCGGCTAAGAACCACTGAATTAGCCCAACCTCTCCCTTGACAGGCGGGCAGAAGAGGAGCCGCGGAAGCAGCAGTCCTCAGGGCCGCCCTGAGCGGACAGGACAACAGAAAGCTGATGCTCAGCACCCCACACACAGAAGAGAGAGCGCACGGCTGCAACACGACAGCCTCTTAGGAGACGCAGGGGCCCGGGCCAGGTGGGCCAGGCGGTGGCCAAGTGGGACGCCTGTGTGCTCCCACATCCACAGACAGCAGGACAAAGACAGCCCGGCTCGGGAGAGCACTCAGGTGGGGACTGGAGCCGGCCTCTCGCACCCCCGCCAGGCTCCCCGCTGGAAGCTTCAGGCCTGACAGGGCAACGGCGTGTCTGCGCTGAAACTATAGGCAAGCCTCTGAAATGCTGGCACGTCGTGTCGCATGGCTGGGAAGCACTGGGGTTTCTGTAAAGCCGGTTTAGCCCTAAGCAAATTACAAACAGGACGGGCACTGTTTCCACAGCAGTGAAAAGCAAATGTGTGCCCTCACCAGCAACGTCAGAGGAAAATGTGTCCACAGCTTCCTGTCCTGTGGGGGCGACGCCAGGAAACAAAAGACGCCAGGTGCAGCCGCCACTCAGGTGCAGCTGCCACTCAGGTATGTCACAGCACTTCTCCCTCCCCAGCCGCCAAGGTTGTGGCACAAAGGGAAGCAAGTCCTATGCTGATAACCCCGTAGCTGGCAGGTCCTCGACAGCTGGCAGGTACTCAGGGGAAAGATCGGGGACCCACCCACGTGACGTGCCAGGAGGCCAGAGTCTGAAGAGCAGACACCACAGGGCAGTCAGACAAATGTCCGACACTGTCCCCTCCGGGGCTGGAAGCATATGTAAACACACTTCTTCATTTCTGACATTTTGGAAAGTTGCTTAAAAGTCTCAGGAGCTGCTAACGCAGTCAGCTCAGTTGATTAGCATCAGTTTGTTTAGACCCGCATTCAGTCCATCAGCGGAGATGGCGCTTGGTCAGCACAGAAGAGCCTCCCTCCGCCAGGGCCACAGCAGGCTGGCTCCCCTCCGCGGGGAGGGCGATTACAAGCCAGGTGTCCACTTTCTTCAAACACGTTGGGCTCGAGCCCAAAGTGCTGATTTTGCACACGTCTGCACAGCCTTCGCTCCTCACTTAAGAGATGGCGGAAATCACAATGAAACGGACAGACGCCTGGATGATCAACAAAACAGTGTGGAGCCAGTGCATGGCTGAGACTGGGGAGCCTGTGCCCAGGGCCTGGCCAGACGCTGACCAGCTGTGTGGCACGTGACCGGGGACAAGCTGAGTTACTTTTGGTGGGGGGTGTTTGTTACCCTTGTACAAAGTGAGGGTGCTGGATTAATGGTTGCTGAGATTCTTTCTGGAGCCCTGGTGGTGTGGTGGTTAAGAGCTACAGCAAGCTACGGCTGCTAACCAACAGGCTGACAGTTCAAATCCACCAGGCGCTCTTTGGAAACCCTATGGGGCAGTTCTACTCCAACTTTAAAACCAAAAAACCAAACCAAACCCATTGCCATCCCGTCGATTCCAATTCATACGACCCTATAGGACAGAGTAGAACTGCCCCGTAGGATTTCCAAGGCTGTAATCTTTATGGAAGCAGACTGCCACAACCTTCTCCTGTAGCGTGGCTAATGGGTTCCAACCACCGATCTTTCGGTTAGCAGCCGAGCACTTAACTGCTGTGCCACCAGGGCTCCTCTTTCCAACTTTACTATTCTAAACATCTATCTATACACAGGGAAGGAGAAAAGGGAGAGAGAGAAGCCTTGTTTAAAAATAAACAAAAGAAGTCCCAAATGCTCCCATGTGAATTTTGTCTCCGTGTAGAAACCACCAGCATGTACGCCAGTGTCACCACCTGCTCCAGATGAGGAGGTACGGGGACGATGCCGCCACGCTTCCTCCTGTTTCCGCTTTGTGGCTGGAATGCTCTCAGCACACGCGGCCCAGCGCGGTGGAAGAGCGAGACCACCGCCCAGCTCCCGGTTCAGCCCGGCTCTAACATCACCACCTGCCAAGAGGGGCCGGCACAAGGAGCCCTGGCAGGGACACAGGCCTTCCTCCCCCTCGACGTCCCTCTCAATGAGACTGGAGATGGGAGCCCCCGGGGGGTGCAGAGAGGTGGCCTGTCACCCTTGGTCTCTGAAGACACAAACCCTACAGGTGTCTGACTCACTCCTGAAACCAGAGCCAAGCTGCCGCTGGCCATCCACCTGGCGGCGCGGACGGGATGAGCAGACCCGCCCACCTGGGCTCAGAGGAGCCTCCTGGACAGTCTAATTTGCAGCCCCGAGAGACAGGCCTCCTGATGACTCCGCTACCTTTAATTGGAGTGTCTGGGCTGAGAGGATTAGGGGCCCAGAGAGCAGTGGAGGCAAACGGCCCAGCGGGGGGGTACCCCGGCCTGCCCTGCCTGGGCAGACGGCAAGGAGACAGACTGGCCCTCTGCTTTGAGGAAAGTGCCCACTGAGGTCACTGCACTCTGACCCAGCTTTACAATCCGCAGCTCCAGCTAGCAGAGGCAGCTGTGGTCAGGCGGAAGGCGGCCGCTTTCTAAGTCAGGCCCACCCAGAGCCTCTCAGACAAGCTGCCCTCTGGCGAGCATCTCTTTGGGTGGAACCAAAAGAAAGAACTACACTTACTAACTAAGACCAGACCCAGTTTTAATCTCAGTCCCTCCATGCCTGCTGCTCACAACTGTTCAGACCGGGCTACTTAGCCACTATCATGCCACTTCAGCGAGAGGCCCAAAGCAATCTCCCGTCAGCACAAGCAAGAAGAACCCAGACCCGGCCCCTGAACCCGACACCTGGGGACATGAGTTGGGAACGGCGGTACAGGCGCTCACACCACTGCTGGCATCTGGCACGTGGGCAAGGGGGCCTGGCCAATCAGATGCAAACCCACAGCGTGACACTCATCCGACAGAATGTGAGGCAGATGCAGGCCAGGGAGAGCCTCATGGACGAGGTGCACTGCTCGTCAGCCTCTGTGGGGCATGCTTTCCCTAGGAATCCCCGAGGGCCTCAGCCTAGCATGACAGGGTCCCGATGTGTGACAGCATCCCAGACACTTAAGAAATGCAGAAAACAAAGACTTATTTAAAGGGGGCTGTTATTTTAGAGGACTGAGGGAGTTACGAGACAGACACCCACCCGACCTGAGACGGAACTCGGGGAGGACATGGCAACCGTGATCACTCAGCCATCTTCTGCTCCCAAATGATGGGAAAAATCCACTCGCTCTAGGTATTTGGAAAACACGAAACGGAGGGAAGCCGCCGTCTGCAATTCTTGCTTGGTGAGAATGCTGAGGGCGAGGAAAAGGCAGGTCGGCCTTCCCTGACCACCAGGGATCGGGCTGCCCTTCTTGAGGCCACCCGGGGCCGACAGACATGTCCTCGGAGGTTAGTACCTGTGGCCGTTACTGCTCTCACAGCTGAGTCAGGCCTGGCGCAAGTGCCCGTGACTCAAACGCTCACTTCCACCCCAGCTCAGAGCCTCCTGGCAAGTCCCCCCCAAGTGCTGTTCAGGGGGTTCAGGCGACCTCATGGAACACAGGAGAGGTGTCACTGGGCCAGAAGCAAGAGTGAGGATCTGACTCTTTCCTAAAGTTCAGCGCTGTGACGAAATGCCCGGCTGTAGGGAGCAGCTACCGACCGAGGCTGCCATGGGAGACGGTGCTGCTGTGGCTGTCTTCGGAGGGAAGCCACGCTAACCACAGCCCGCTTCCCCACCCGCTCTCGGGGTTTCTTTCCTCCTGTTGCTAGATCAGCAGGCAAGGAGGTGAGTCAGCTACTCTTTGCCCTCTGTCTCCCCAAGCCCTTCTGTGCAGGAGGGGGACCAGGAGCCCGGAACAAGAGGAAAATGCTCAGAGCGTGCCACTGTCACAGCTCCCACCCACAGTCGACGGCTGTCCGCGCGGTGGGGACCAAGGGCCCCAGGGCCATGGGCTGCGTATTCACCGGGCAGGTATCCACACCAGGCCATCCTAGCGATGCTGACAAAGGCCAAGCTGAGCTGCTGGGGGCGGTCTCTCCCGGGACTGCCTGTGCCACTCCGAAAGACAGGTAGAAATACCAAAGGCCACATGGACAAGGAAGCCCGGTGCCCTTCTCCACTACTCTGGCGATGAGCCGTCAGGCAGAACCCAGTGAGTGCTAACACCCCATTTGCTAGTGGAAATGTGCTCTCAAGTTACACTCTGCAGACCGTCTACTAGGCAACGAGTAGCAGCTGCACGGACGTTCTCTGGGATGGCTGAGTTCACCGCAGTCCCCAGCCCCGCACAACCTGGCCTTGCTGGCTCGCCAGTGCCTGCGTTCACGCACAGAGCACGTCTCAGCAGTTTGTTCAGGGCCTGGCTTCCTGGGAGCAAGGGGACACTGTCCCTGATGGCCAAGGGCAAGGAGCTCCATGCCAGGGGTAGAGCCGAGAGATGCACAGCTGGGAGGTGCCAACCAGCGGGAACTGGCCAGCCGCTGTCTCCACAGGATTTGCCCCTGCAGACCTAGGAGAGGACGCAGGAGGGCCAGGCTGGAGAAGCCCGGCTCCTGGGTCAGCCCACAGCATGGTAAGTGCAAGACCACAGTAGACTCCTTCTCCTCATCTGAAAATGGAGACCCTGTGGCCCACCTCACACAGCCGAGAGGGTTATGCAAGATAACGAGCACGATGACCAGTGCCTGAAGCGTAGTCAGCTGTTCAACGTCATCACCATAGTTATACTGGGGACACTCGGGCCCGGGAGACAAAGCTTTCGTAGGTCTCCTCCCAGAGCCCAGACTCGGTTCAAATCGCGTCCCTGCGTTTTTTTGTTTTCTGAAGGCAAGGCTGAAAGATGGAGTCCTCCCACGATCTGACAGGTGACTTGGATGTCATTTCCCATCGTCCTCACACTCCTTCATTTTCATTTGAAAAGCCTGGACTCTTCACACTGTTAATCACGCACAGCTGTTTTCAACACTGTGGCTATCAGAAACAAAGAGCCAGCAGAGCGTGCCCACGCTTTACCCACAGAAAGCTGACGCTCTGGCTTTGCACCTTGATACCTGCCCACTTCCTCCTGCATCCAGCCTACGGGCCGTCGGAGAAGCTCATGCCCACGGGGGCATGGAGGCTTACACTGCAAAAGGGCCTGAGAGCAGGTAGCCTACCCGCCAGCCCAGCCTGTCTCCTCGTGCCCTTTACAACAATGGCGCCTTGCCCATCAAAGAGGAACAGCAGGCCTGACAAGCACGTCGCACACGGCACTGGCCTAGAGGTAGGGGACCGGGGCTGTCTTCCAGGGCTGAGGCCAAGGCAAGGCTAGAACGTCTGTGGGCCTTGCCTTTCCCTCTGGAACCTTCTGGGGAGCACTGTGCGCCCCTCTCATGAGTCTCCCCAACTCCAAGACTTGGCTTCTTTCACCTTAAACAAAACCGCAAAGCACGTGGCGAAGCACAAGAAAGGCTTATGGAAAGCGACTCTGAGCTCTTTTTCTCAGCAGGAAGAGTCTATCATTTCATACTTGGCAGCAGCTTGATGAGAGACATTTTACCTAGATTGGGTTATGAAATTCACTGGCCAGAACACTGTTTTCCAGGCTGAAGAACGAGTGTACGCAGCTCTCACAGCTCCCTCGCTAACAGTGAGCTGCAACTTGAGGAAGTAAAATTGGGTCACATACGATTATGTCAATGAAAACTGACAAACACAAATGGCCTACTTGGTCGAGAGCATTCAATGTGAACCGCTGTTGCAAGGAACACGGTGTTTGCATTGTCTTTATCACAAAATCAGGACCTGTGGAAACACTATTTCCTCAAGTTGGTATACCTTTCTTTCCCAGACAGGAAAGGGGTGCACGAAAACCTCAATAGTGACACGTTCCTCAAGGGGATCGATGGGAAAGCTCCATCGCCGAGCACGGATCAGAAAAAATGCTCATTTTCAATGTTTAAAAACCGCAGAAATGCACAGAAGTCTTCCAGTGAGTCCAGCCCTATGTTTGATGACTCAACATTACCCCATAAAAATTAAAAATCTAACTATCACAGCTTTTAACTGGCAAAGCCACAAAGGCGCCAAGTAACCTGACACAAGAAGAGTAACTGGGCTAGACCAAGATTTGCCTGCTGGGATGACACTGCAGACATAACGGGATCCTTTTAGGAGTTAGGAGACACACAACTAACAGTGAAATCACCATGGCGTTCTTTTTTCCAAACTTAGACAAAAAGAGGGTGGAAGCTGTGCCCTGCACCGTCCCGGGGTCTGATCCCGTCCACCTGGTTCCTGACTGCTTTGAAAAATTACTCAGCCGCAGGCTCAAGGGCTTCCCTGTTGCTGGGAACGCCACCTGTACACTTCTGGAAGAAAAAAACACACCAGGAAGACAGGCCTCCCTCCCCTCCTCCCAGGTTTGTGTGCTGGTCTCCACTGGATTCGGCCCCAGGGCAGAGTCCACACAAGGAGGGAAAGATGCACGGATGGCCAAAGGGACACCTGGAGCCCAGCAACAACCGGGAAGAGGAAAGGAGGAAGGGCTGCTATTCTCCAAAGCTGGGGTCTGTACCAGAGCACCCCAGCTCCAATCGAACCAATCACGTTCAGGACCGGAACTCCCTGCCCACCTCCTAAGAGTGCCCTGTAAAGGGAAACCGTGAAGGGACCACCCAACGGTTCACCACCTAAAGGACACTCCTCAAGAGCCGCCGACTTGCCCCTTACACCCACGCCCACAGCGTGACCCCAAACGCCCCCAGCACTTCCGCGCCTTCTTGGGAGGCCAGGGAAGGACCCCCCCTCCCCACCCCCGCCTTAGGGATCTTCCAGTCTGGGCTGAAAGCGTGCGGAGCAAGGCTTATGCAAGCTGGGTGCCCGAGCCTGGGGGCCCTGGGGACACAGCCAGAGCCTAGTCTGGGGAGGCGAAGAGGAGGGAAAGATGGTACCCTGGAGGAGGGCTTGGGCCTGGAGCCAGACTGGGGTCCTAGGCCGGGATGGCGAGCTGCTAAGCCCAGGAGGGATGCCCCGGGGGTGGAGAGGCCACGATCGCCCCGGTAGATCGGGATGGGATGATGCGGCATCCCCAGGCTGCGAGAGGCGCGGCCTGCGGGGGGCGGGGGCCGACTTCGGGGATCCTGGAGCAGGATCCCGGGTGGGCGGCCGAGCTGGGGCACGGGGCC